CCCTCCCCTCCCCTCACAATAACCTTCCCCTCCCCCTCACATCGGCAAAAACCTTAATCAACATTTTCTGTTTATGTACTTTGGCCCTCCCCAGTGTTCAAAGCTGGCGATAGGTCTGATTGATTATCATGATTTAGTGATTGCGATGCGAAAGTGTGAGTCAATTTCTCATTATGCATGAGACCAGAGGACTTTCATCTCCGCTCAGTGCAGACATTTTACTGCTGTTGGTCATGTCCACAAACTGTTTTGCTATGAGCAGTAAAGGTAGAAATTCAGATTTATCCCTGAGGCAGCGGAATAATAAATGTATACTCATCACAATAGACCATGCGGTTTGGTACACGGTAATCCTGTGATACTAGTTGGAATGATCAGCTCTCCTTTGTTAAACAGGTGTATAGAAAGGCTTAACCACATAGTTGTGGAGTATGTATGGACCATATTATTGTTGTCGGAGTTGAATACAAATCATTCCTTCTGAAAGAAGAAATCCGGCATCATGTAAATCGTATCAGTTTTGATTTGATCATCACCAACAGGAAGTCGAGAGTTATGCGAAACGTATCTTGGGCTACCCAGAGCAGTTTGTCAGCTACGCCCTGGATCAGGTATTTAATCCCTGTTGTTTCCGTTTTATGTCACTGTTTCTAAAACCCATTGATACTGCTTCATATCACTGTTAACATTGACATTGATTGCATAGACCTTGCTTTAGCAACAAAACTCTCTGTGGCTCTTTCGATTTGTTGCAAGATCTCTAGAAGAGCGCCCTCTTTATTTGGTGTTCATTGTATTCCTGAAGTATCAGGAATTCTTTGGAGATATCTGGAGAGATTCATGTAGTAATAACTCATCTGGAATTGAGCTGTGTCTAACGCAAACAGTAGCATGTATGTCCATAGCCTCAACCCACTGACTTGCCAACTGTTGCCAAAACTTGACACTTAACACCTGTTAGGGTACAGGTGCGCTAAAAGGTAGCTACCATCAAACTTCATGCTTAGCATATCCCCTTCCCCCCACCCAGAAATGACCAACAAACCCAGAGTAAGTTGATTGTTGTTCTCAAGGTCTGGTCAGTATTCACTACTGGCCAAATTGCTGTGTACTTAATTTCTTCACCAGTAGCGACAGTTTGTCTTGATTAGCCGTTGACTTTTATCAAAACATAAATCTGTGCATTTCAGCTTCAGACGCAGATTGGAAAGTGCCGTCCTGTCTACAATCTCTGGACCTCACTGATTGCCAGTTTCTGTCGAGGTTTCCTGGAGTCGTTGGTAAGCAGAAATCTTATTTGCCTTGCATATCCACCTGCATCATTTCATTCCTGTTTTTCAGGTTGCAAATTTTTCAACAATCATGGAGTAACATTGCATACCCAGTATTCATTCTGTAGTCTGTATTCATTCTATTACCATTTTCTTATGGTCAGCTCACCATGCTTGCTTAATTTCGGAAGTAATTTTTGACAACCTTATGTAAACCAAATGGATGTTAATGGCTAAGAAGATGCAAGGTTGTTTGAGAGGAGAGTTTCTTCATCTGTTCCTCTTTTGTCTTTGTGTTTCAGAATGCTTTGTGGCTGATCATGGGTTGGTGCATCTTCTTCCTGGTTCCTAGTACTATCTTTGGAGTCAAACTGGCCAAGCATTATCGGCGTATGGACTACGATGATTATGATGGGTGAGTCCAACGAGAGATTACTAGCATCCTGTGGGTCTTAGCTGTAGGAAAAATGAGAACTCACTGATGTGAGGATTATCATACATCCTGTGGATTTTGGAGCCACAATGTTTTTTTAATCACATGTATTGTAATGACTCTGACTCCTAAACATTGTCTCCCATATTGGATGTTATTTTACATCCATATTTTACTCTCTTTTTTAACAGCAATCAGGATATGGAAATGGCCGAAAAGTAAGTTGGAAACATGATTGTCTGTTTTAGTTCCAAGCAAGTTAGACCAAAGGCAAAAATAAGAGAAACCTGCATGTGCTGGCAAATGTGAAAGTTGTTTATAAAAGGTTCAAAACCTGTTTTAAAGATTAACCCTAACACTCCTCAGTCCTCCAACAGGTGAAGGATTGAGGAGGGTTAGGGTTAAAGTGGAATGAGATCAAGAAATGACAGACAAAATACGAGAGGAAAAATTGAACACAGTACTGGAGACTATCCAGTGGAGTTGATGACATACTGGGACTACAAACACTCATTCTCCCCCTCCCCCCAAAATAAGGTATTTATAATTTAAATGAGGTATCCAACCAGAACAAGAATTTTTCCATATTTGTATTATCTTTTACCGTTGTGATAGGTATGGTGGTGGTGGTAGCAGTCACTTTTCAAGGTGAGTAACCATGACAACCAATTCCTACAATGTATAACAACACAAGTTTATTATTAGCGTAGCTCCTCAGGAGAGTTAGCTACAAATCAAACAAGATGTAGACAGGCCACTCTCTGCTATTGTTTCTGATTGAGAGGAAGTCAAGAAACCAGACTAAGATGCAGTGTAAGAGGGGGTCATGTATGGCATGGTGATCTGTCAAGAATTCAACTGAATGAATGTTTTTAGGTGTAAAACTGCCAGGTCTTGGCTCAGATCTCACCTCTTGCTGTCACATACTCTGCTGTGTTTTGTTTATGAAATAATATTTGTATCACAAGATGCTTCAATTAATTTTTACTTGAAATGTTAAATTGGTTGCTTATGTTGAACTTTTCTTCCTTATTTCAGCAACAAAGTTGCTCCGAGTTATTCTTAATGATGCCCAGACTGCCGTGGAAAGGTAAGAATTTCTTATTTCTTCCCAAGATGTTTTTTCCACAAAAATGTAGTTATTTCCTGTCTTTGACCAAATCCACCAAGGCTCAACAACTCGCCTCAGAGGAAAACCGTTTATTCAAAACCTCATGCATGGAACTAAACTGTGACCAAACTCCTGGACTGGTAAGTATTGAGTTACATGGATTTGCTTGTTATCCAAAATAACTTTCGGATTTTCGAGGGAAAAAAGGGACGGGGTGTCTGTCAATTGGTGAGTTAGTGTAGCTTTGCATGTTTGATGAATGTATGGATGCTTTTCTGATTTTTGCAATCAATTAATAATATTCATTTAGCCTGGACATTCTTATCGTTTTAAAAAAGAAATCAAACAAAATACCATAACAATTACGTGGTAACAGTAAGTTTTGATTTGATCTTTTTGTTTACAGCTCTAAAAGCAGTTGGATTTGAGAAAACCGCAAGATGTTGGACGCAGTCCATCTGCACAGATACTTGAGATGCTGAAGTTTTCAGATTAACTTAACGACAGATCCAAAAAAATTAAAGGGTTCCAAATACAATTTCAGAAAGTTTGGACTTTTTTTTCAAGCAACCTTTTATGGCTTACTGGAGGGGTGAGGTTGCATTTTGTAGCTTTTCAAGCGGCCTTTGATGGAAGGAAAAGGGAAAAAAAATAGGGAGAAATCACCATTCTCTCATTACTTTAAACAAAACTGGGGGTTCCCTTTTTGGGGAGGGGCATGGCCTCTATTCCCCCCACACACACACAAGACTCTCCCTTGGATTAAAGAAATATCTCTCTTGAGGCTGTGAAATTTATTATATATTGTATAATATGTAATATTCAAACTTGAATTATTTCAGACAAGATTGTTTTCAGTGACATGAGACATTTCTCATGAACCACTTTGGTCCACCATATTTGATTTCAGGCAATGTCCAAAACCAAGTAGATGTATCAATTCAATGGGTGATAGCCAGATCTGAAGCTGGTACCTGGCAACACCCCTGTTATGGCTGAATATCAAAGATGGCAGACCACTAAGCATTATGGGATATGTGACGTGTTGAAGAAATCTATTATTTCCATTCTTTGAAATACTTCACCCTAAGCATAAGTTTGATAAATTTATGATTTCTGCTGTTACGGTTGTGAAGTTGATACCCATTTATTTCTTCCAAGTATTTTTGTTTTCTTTAAGTCTGTACTTTTTTATTTTAATTTGTATTAAAGTTATACAGACTTGGTTGCTGTGTATACATCAGGCAATATTGTGCTAGATTAGCAAGAGGCTTCTCAATACTGTTTTATTTTTAAGAGGTTTTTACTCTTTGCTATTTGTCTTTCACTGAAATTTTTTAATAAGTTCTTGCAAGAGAAATGTTTTAAACTGTGGCCTATATTATAGAATTGTATATAGTCAAGATTGGTCTGTGTGTGTGAAGACTAAATATAGATGTTAGAAACGTAACTGTTGGTTTGTGCTAAGTGGCACGATATTGTAGCTAGTATTTTGTTTTTAGTTGGGGAAGTTTTTAGTTGCTAAGTTCCTTCACGCACATTGATAATAATGCTTATACTTTATACGTTGGTTAATGTTCTTTTCTGTAGACTAGAAAATGTATTTCTGGAAATATTCTTGCCACATGCTCAGTTTTGAGACGTATGTTTCACCTAGCAGTACAAGAAATTATTCTTGGGAACAAGGAAACTTTTTAAATTAGGTAATTTGTTTTGGTGTGCACCGCTGTATATTATTGTCCAATGACAGACTATGATTGACGGGTTTTTTCGTGCAAGGTTGAATGTATATATCTGTGTGTCAAATAGTGTTGCTTTGAAAGTATCAGTGTTCTGTGAATAATTGCATCAAAAATATAATACAGTAGTAGCCATACCATGCTGCAAAACCGCAAATTCAGAATGTTTACCTCAAATGAATTCTACCCATCTTTAACAACTTCATCCTTACATTCTTCAAAAGTTAAATATTTTTGGTTTGAAAACTCTAGCTTTTAAGCCAAGTTAGCAACAAGTTTACCACTAGCTGGTACATTTTGGTCTTTTGTGGTTTTCAAGCAATACTGTTTAAGTGAAGGAGGTATACTGATCTTTTTGAGAAGTTTATATGAAAAGTTTTAAGTGGAATAAAGAAGCTGTCTTGTAAGGCTTAACTTCAAAACGCTTCGGCGTTTATGTGTAACTCTGACTTTAGTTATCGTTTTTGTAAAAGAAAAACCCTCATTTATTACATGTCCAGGCTTTTATTGTTTTTCATCGAAATTTTTGTTTCAGTTGTGTTTTCAAGTATGGCCGTCCCTGCGTTTGCAACAAAAAAGAAAGAATGACCTTTGAAGATAAATGCGCTCAATTTTAATTATGTCGTGTCACGTTCTTACCCATTGCAGTCAGATTTACCTCAATACATGTCGCATGCATGGCGCTAGACATTCTTGCCTGTCGGCCGTCTCGTGTACACTCGAAATAAGACTAATTGTCCCTATCGTGATAGGGGTACGCGGAAGGAATCTACAGTGTAGGGAAGAATACGAATGTTTATTTGCTTTTGACATTTTATTTGATCAGTACCTCGAGCTCTAGGTCCTCTCTCATCACAGGTAAATGCAGCGGCGCAAGCGGCATCATTTGGGCAGATAGCATCCCTAGGAAAACTAGTAATGGGGGGGGGAGTTTATGACCAGCCAGCCAAACTGTGTTGACCAGAAGAAACGATGTAGAATACAATTCCATGCCAAACTAACACAGCTGTTCATTTCACACGGCATGGAAACGCCTTGATGAAACAATGTCGGTCGTAACGTCTAGTGGTGAATCGGTGCTACCGTTGCTTGGGTCGATCGTTCAACTGCAGAAAAGTGCAACTGAAAGATCATAAGGGAATAAAAATGTGCTTCGCCGGTCTTAAACGTGCGTTTAAGACCGGCTCAGGAGAATGGATGTGACTAATGCCCGAGTCGCTGGCGAGGGCATTATCAGCGTTCGTTGCCTTGAGCAAGGTCTTAAACGTTAGTTTAAGACCATCCAAGCACCCATTTATAAGTACTTTTTATTCAGAGAGTCAAAAGGAATCAACATATGATGGATTTCCAACGATTTTGTTCTGAAAGTTTATTTTCCTTTTCCAACCCCCCCCCGTGTAGTTGTCAAATAGAATCTTCCTCAATGAACTTGGCGCGGCGCGCGTCGCGTGCTCACAGACTGCGGACCAATCAGACCTGATTTAACTCTTTCGTATCCATTGATTTCCATTATATTAAATGGAGATCAATGCTCGTATCCATGTGCCAGTGTATGATTTACGCAGCGGACATAATCACTTCTCAGCGGGCATTATCAAAATTAATGCGTAACGTGATGCGTTTCGACCAATAGGAATAGAAAAACTGACCCAGGTATTTATAAATGTAAGTTTAAAATTTATGAATGTAAAACAGCCACAGAAAACGAGACTAGTACTAACAAAGCGACCGGGCTAGGTTTCGCGGAAGTTGAAATCATCTGCAGAAATGCATCAAAACAACAACAGCAGTCACAACAAAGAAAGAATACACAAGAAAACAAAGAAAATATCTCTTTTTACTTCTTGAGTAAGACTGGAGGAAGAATAATTGACTTAATTCGCATTGTGAGCGTTAAACATACTTCATTTGTACTTCTTTTTCTAAGAAATTAACTGCTGAGGCTAGTCTATGTAGGCACTGACGAAACAAAAACTGGCACTTCAGTGGGTGCATGAGCAGGTGTCTACTCCTCAGCTCATTAATGAGCAGAAATGACAAGTCTCAAACCACCTGCGACTATAGAGTTCCACTTGAGATTAATTTACTCCCTCCCTAAACCAACAAGAAAGACTACCATCTGACACTTAGCAAATTTACACAACTGCCTAGTACAAGCCAAATAGTGTTTCTGATCTTGTGCGTTGTTGCTATACAAACGTAACGGTGAACAAGTTTGATATTGCGATAACACCATGCAAGATATGTCTCTTTTTTGAGTAGGCCTAAGCGTTGTTCTTGAAAGAACTGGGGGTTACTCAACATTTCGGACAGTATGCTTTGCCCGTCTTCGGGAAACTGCAAAGGTTCCAAGGATGAAGCAGCTTATAAAGTGTCTGGAGGTGGTGAGATGTAAAGACGAGGCTGCTAAATCAGGATCCCGGAAACAAGGGTAATCAAGCAGAACATGGGATGCTGCTGTCTCCTGACGACGGGCAGAGTCCGAAACGTTGAGTACGCTCTGGTTCCTTTCAGAACCACACACTGCACGGTACTATACCGAAAACCTCTTTACCTAATTTGTCACCTTCACTGTTAAAATTAAGCTTCAAAGCTCATCTTAATGTTGAACACTTCACATTACAGTAACTTATTCAATACTCTGCAGTGCTTTTCGACACGCAAGTGCTGAAACCTATAAAATTGTTAATTTCAGAAATGTGAGATACATGTACAAGTGATTACAGCGTTCAACCAAATGGCTATTACCTACAACACTATCATTCTTTTGCAATTCAAATCCTTGAAAAAAATTTCAATTAAAATCCGGTGTTTCGAAATCTGTTATTTATAAGGGTCGGATCTGTCCCACTGGGGCAGAGCCAACACCGCCCCCAACGGCCTGTGAGAGCGTAGCTGCCACTCCTGCTGATGCGGCTGCTGCTCCTACTGCCCCTGTACTTTGTACATCTTTTCGTTTGGACACAAACTTCACGGCGTATAACTTGGGTAGATACACGCAAACGAGGGTTAAATAACCGTTTAGTAATACCGCTGCGCACAAGGTTGCCACTTTTTGTATCACCGCTATGGCTGTCACGTAGACGGGTACCGTAGCCAGGCACACGACTAAGGTGGAGTACACGCTCGCGGCAATGAACTTGGACTCGTTGTAGTTGTCTGGAACCCGCCTCGTCCTAAAAGCGTAGTAGCAACAGACCAGGATAAGAGCGAGGTTGTAGACACAAGATGCAAGAAATTCATAGCTGAAGGTGCAGTAGAGTTCTACATAGTTGACCGGGGTCACGGGTACAGTTACCTGCGCTTGTACGGGACTGGCACAGGTTGAGACCACGATTATAACAATCTGTTGATACAAGCAAAAAAATACACGAATATCCAATTAAACTCTAATACATCACAATCCCGTTTGGCTTTGACAACGGAGGAAGGAATAGACAAAACACCTGTCGTGTCACCATGGCAACTAGTGATCACCGACAGAACATACCATATAATACTTCGTGTCGGTTTGATATGTGTTTTTGAGTAATTTTGGTGAGTTATTTCTGTCCAGTTTGGAGAGTTAGCAGAAGACGAGTTGACAAGCTGACAGACAAACCGGTGAATAGAGAAAATAAGCAACCATACAAACCCCAAATATAACAAACAAACAAACACTAACAAAAAAAATTGTCTGTTAGGCTGTGTGACGTCAATATGTCGATTATATCCACAAGAGACAAGCTCGTTTTCTGTGTATTCATGCGTGGAATGTAATTTCTAAACGACTGCAACTTCAATAAGAGAAATTTCAAGAACCGCTGAAATAATTTCAGAGTACAGAATGATGATAACAATGTGGCAGGTGCAGCAATTGTTTAGACACTAACACTATCACAATAGCAGTTTCAAAGTAACGTTGCAGGAAATTGTGCATAGACCTGGTTTTCTCCAAATTCAATGGGATCGTTGATGGTTGTTAACCACTAGCAGGTGCACGTGTACATTCGACGAGTTAATGGAGTCTCGCTTTCGATCATAGTACAAGTTTCGTTTTCGTGGAATAGTTCCTTGATTTCCTGCATGGGTCTTCGTTCAACTGGTTGTGTGCGGATAACTGGGTCAGTAGTATAATTTCAACAACTTCTTTTCACACTAGCAAAATAGACGCCAAGGTTCAAAATAATTATTTTATCGATCCAACCCACTGGCCAGTGCGGGAGATGATTCAAGCCCAGTCAATAGGCAATTATTATATGGCGAATGTGTTAACCCCTGAGGCGACATGACGCAGAATGCTCGCGCTGCCTATCAATTTGCTCAGTGCAGTATGTGCAGCCCAGGCATGATCGGTTGCAGATAACCGCCGGTAAAGAACGGCATAGTCCCCATGAGCCCAGCAAGGATTCTCGCTTGTATTTGCATGGCAACGAAGACGGAAATTCGAAATAAGCAGATGAAATTGAAAATGGCAGGAATGAACTCCGGTGTGATTTATTCGTAGCTCAGAGCAGGCGTTGGTTGGATACCTGATCCAGATATACCATGGACGTATAGTCATGCTTTACTGACACAGTTCAACAGACTCCGTGTTCGCTATTTCGTTCATTTCCGCTAAATCATTATGGGCCAGAACAAACGTCTCAAAACTAAAGAAAACAGTGTAAGTGGTTTCAGAATACACAGAATACAAATGCATCCAGAATGTAAAAAAGTGGAAGTTGCAAGAGTGCAGCTACTTAAAGTATGAGGCATGCTTGGGGTCATGATCACCCGGACCCGACGTATTCTGCTTTGCAACCTTTTGGTTGTTTGATCAGAGTAGATAGATGTATGACGGCATACACAGCCATGATGATCTAATTGTCTTTGTTTGTACATTTCAAGGCTTAATTACAATCACCCATGGTCAATATTGATATTGTAAAGCCATTTCGGGACGTGTTTATATGCGGGAATGTTTCGTTAGCTTTCCCCTCTGCTTTGTATTTGGTAAAATAATGTGAAAAGTCTGAATTTCTTTCCATTTTACTACATGTATAATGTCCCTTGGATGTTCCAACGTTAAGGTCAGGATGACTCAGTTTGCATCCTCTTAATCTCGTTTATAATTGTATTTATCTTATATAATAAATGAAAGAGCAGCGTAATCTCTTCACTGGCTCAGCTAAGTTTTTCTTTGTAAAATAGATTCCCTACTAATATGTTATGTGAAAAAACAATCATTTCAATTTTTATTTTGTATTTATTTATTTCTCCTGACTTTGCCTGGCAATTAATTACTTGGTAAAGTTTCAACAAATTCATTGTTCGAAAACTTGCTCATTAAGATTCAAGGACGGAGGCTATTCCTTTGGAGACACAAGATGCACTGGTCGTTGACGGTGTCATGGAATAATTTCATTAACAAATCTGTTTTCGAGTTTCGGTTTTCAATCAATGTCAATCCAATCGGTTTCAATCAATTTGTGAAGAGTTTCTATTGACGTAAAAGGCGAAGAATGGAGGTTTTCTGTCGTGTCTCTGTTATTTCCTCTTTCAATGTGCAGGTCCTTCAGATTTTCATCATGGAAGAATGTAGCTGTTGTCATCTACCAATTTAATTGTTAGTTCATGTAAAAGGCAATCATAATATAAGGCAGCAACCGGAAAATTCCTTGCTTTTTTCCCGATTATCAAAGCTACGTCCAGTGTGATTAAGCCCACCCACGCGTGTGGGCAAACAACCTCATTAAATTCGATGAAAACCCGTAGCCAACGTAAAACGTTGAATTCTTTTCATGAGCCTCATTTGATTTTAGTAAAATTGAAGGTTAGCGAACTGCGTCATTTAGAAACAGTTAAAATATGAATCGTTCCCGTAGTGCATGATTTGCCGTCAATTTCAACTAGTCTCGTGAACTATGCTATTCAAAGTACTAGATTTAATTAAAGTATTGAACTTCTGAAAGTTACTCTTTGTTATGTTATTGTAATCTTATTAGTTCCTTTTTAATCAATCTGACTTTGTGTATTGTTATTTTGAATAGCTCTGAGAGACTAGTCAGACAATTTTCAACAAGGACGTATCGTACAATTTAGAAAAGTTGAGGGGATGCGTTATAATAACGTTGGCATAGGATTCAAAACTTCTGGCGCGAAAAAAGTTTCCTTTTCTTATTAGCTGTAACATTTCTAATAACAATTCAGACAACTCTCGTGCCATAACTTTATCAAAGTGAATACGGGCATTTCACAAAAGTGCAATAGAGCAGCAAGTACCCCCAAATGGTCCCTACTATCCTACATTGGCAAAAACCTGCAGATCTTAACAAAAATGCTTCAGCGAGAAAATTGTGCGCATCATCTTACGCTACGCAAGCGAAGCAATGATTGGAATAGTTGAGTTTAACAGCCCCCGCACTGCAGAAGCTGTGGTGTTAAATTGGTGGCGATTTAACACCAAAGTTTTTGTAGTGAATCCCAATGGGATCGTACAAGCAGCTATTCCCTGTCAACCTCGTACAGAGGGACCTGCAACATCTTTGAGAATACGTAGTTTATGGCTACAATCGTTTTACCCACAGACCGGATATCATGATTCCTCGCTCATAAGCCTGCATACCCCGTACGCGTGTCATCATACATGTACTTTTCATGCTCGATGCAGACGTTAACGTAACCCCTCCAATTGAATTAAAGATCCAGATGGAATTTTTTAATCAATTCGGGCCCAGAGTTGGCAATCTCATTATACATCCAATTCTTACGAATAGTCAATTCCATCTTTCCATTTCTCCAGAAAGATCTTTCTGAAGTTACATATTGTTTCGTTCGTTGACTATTTTTAGACATAGACAGTCGACTACGTAACTAAGCGAGAATATGTTCCGGAGGCAGCAGACTCAAAAATTCTTTTCTCATCTTCTTGATTATTAAGCACCTAGTAGTTTCCCTCTGGTTTGTTTTAATGACAAATCTATATGTTGGATTTGTGTATGCTCTGAAAAACATACGACAAAGAAGGAAAACAGTATGAGAGTCCCGTTGGAATGAGGATAAATCTTGATAAAACTGCAAAATTATGTTAGAAAATTAGTTTTTAAATGAACTGGCCGACCACTGATCCATGATCTTTTTAAAAATCTCTGGATTTTGTAAAAATCAAGCTACCCCATCATTTGGCAGACTTCAGAATCCAACTTCAATGCCATCTCCAATGTTGGTTAAAACACCGTGCATAAAGCAAACACTACCCCTTTCGATTCCAATCTAACCTCAGCGTGAATGCTCTCCGCGGAAGCTTCATCACTCGGCCTCACCATTAACTGAGCAAAACCGAAGATCCAGTCACTCTTGGATTCTTCCCCGCCTCCTTCCACCTCCAATCCCATCTGCACTCAGGACGTTGAAGCAGTCAAGCAGTTCATGTACCTAGGCTCAAGCTTTCTTCTGACTGTTCTTCAGAGGCAGAAATTCTACGGCGTCTGCAGCTCCCCAGAGGGGCATTTGGGGGATGTCTCCAATCTGGCACAGCACCAAGTTTAAAACCAAGACCAAGCTCCACCTCCTAGACTCTACCTTTTCCCCAGTCCTAATGTGTTGCAGTGAGACCTCGACATTGACAGCTGTCTTAGCCAGGAAGATCGACGCCTTTCACAGGACCTGTCTCCGCACCATCCTTGGGATTCACTGGCATGACTTCATCACCATACCAACGAGGAAGTTTAAAGACGGGCCGGCAATGCCCCTCCTGCGAGCACTACTATCCAGAGGAGGAAACTACAGCTTTTTGGCCACGTCGCCCAGCCGGCTCCCAGAGGGAGTTCCGGCACGGCAGATCTTGCTAGCCACCAGCAGGCCTCCACCACACGACTAGTGCCGTTCTCGTGGACACCCCTTTACCTGGGTGCGCCAGGTTCGACCACTGCCCCACTTGATGGACCCGGCTCCAAACTGACGGGCCTATAGAGAGTTGGTCACCACGGTCATTTAAATTGTCCATGCGATGCCAAGTCAAGTCAAGTCTCAGCTGTCATCCTAACGGAGGTTCAAGTGTAGCCTGAAACCTATCACAACCACCTATTAACGAGTTACCTTGATATTCCTTATGGACGTTTGTGTCCTTACCTTTTCTACATTGATTGAGACGGGAGAGGGATGCAAGTCATGGAGAAACGATGATCGTCTTGGAATAAAAAACTAAATCACACAGCTCATGGGGGACTAACTAGTGGGTGAATACGGTAAACAAAAGTCTCACTTGATATTTTCAGGAAATATGGATTTAACTGGAACTTTGAGCAGGCCTACATTTCATTCACTGGCATAACTGAGTGAACCAATCACCATGCATGCATTGATGCCCACGTTTTATTCTTTACGTACCCTTGAATTTGAGGAATGAGAAGTAAAATCGAGGTTTTATGCTCTTTATTCTTGTCCTTGTGTAATCTGTGTGCATTGATAACTGGATTCTCAATAATCTCAGGATAATTTTATTTGATCAGTAGTTGTTTTGGGCAAAGAACACCGTAAGAATAACACAAAGAACACAAATTTTCTAAGAATGTCTTTGTTGAGAGTGGTGATAGTGTTGAACCTTCATCAGAAATCTCCATGAAAAGCCCCACTCGTTAGTTTTTAAAACTCTGCCTGGGTTTATCGCGAATATTGGAGTAAGTTGCATTCTTACCTGAACCAGAATCAGCACGCCAGCTATGGTCAGAAGCTGCCTAGGACTGACCCATTTAGGACGTCTGACCGATACCCGACTGGCCTTGAAGATCCTGTAGATGCGGTTAACCTTGAGAAGAGTTGGTGCATACGTCAGGGTGAAGCTGAGGGAGATGACAGCTTCTGATGCCAGACAGGTCCACTGGTTGGGTTCAAGGAGAAGCAAGAAGACAGCCAAGAAGGCAAGGACCACACCAAGCAGAACGATAGTGCTTAGTTCACGGCTTGCAGCTTTGATCAGAAGCTTGTCTCGGTAGTACACCATACCAGCAGCCGTCAAGATGTTCAGTAGGAGCCCCATGACGGAACACACAAGGATGCTGATAACTATTGGGTCTTGGAAGCTAAGACTGGTTGGGATGATATCCTCGCAGAAGCTGCGATTGGCATTTGGCCAAGCTGTGATTTCACAGGGTACACACTCACTGGCTTTGACAACAATTTCATTGTCATTACACTCTTGGCAGAGCCAGCAACACTTTTCTTGGGATGGAACGAGTATGAAACCTGGGGAACAGTCAGGGATGCAAGTGGATCGAGGAATCTCGGAGGAACCACCCTGCCACCGGATTAGATTGTCCTGAATTTGTAGCTTTGTGGTCGTGTTATGCGAGTCCCAAAGGCCAATCTCAATGCTGTCGTACTCTCCATTACCTATCTTCTGGTAGTTCTTTAGGACGTATTTTCCGGGTGGGTCGGCATTCTCGTCAAAGAACAGTAGTCCACCCGTCGCAGTGAAATTGACTCTGAGTAAATAGGTTTTCAGCACTTTTCCAGATATGCTTTCAATTTCAGAACAATCTATCTTCCTTGGGCACAGTTCTTTGAGCAGAGAATCGAGAGCGTATGCAAAGGCGTAGACACCATCAACTACCGGGGATACCACGAAGTCACTGCTTGGGCTATCTGGGAAAACTCCAGGGCAGTTCGAGTCGTTTGCACGGCATCCATTTTCTTGGCGCTTTCTTTGCGTGTACTTGGTAAACCATGAGCTCACAGAGTCTGTGTAGGGTTGCAATTTTGCGAAATAATCGTCGAACGGCGGGACAGTCTGACTGAAGAAACGTGTGAAGAGTGAGCCCTGTGCAATGTCGGCAAAGCCTCGCTCGCTCAAGTCAAATCCCCAGTCATCACCACCGATCCAGGTAATATCAAGGTCTGGCTGTTCGCTCTTGACACGCTCCAGTACGGCATTGGCTACCTGTAGGGCTGCAAACATGACCACAACTTTGGCATATCTATATTTGACCAGTTTGGCCACAACTTCTGCTAATTCCTTCTCTGTTGGGTAATGATTTACGGGTGAAGTAAAGGCGATACAGATGTCCTTCTGGTCAGCGAGTACAAGCAATTCTCGGGCACCGTGGAGACCATAGCTATCGACTGAGTGAATCAGGGCGATGTAGTTCCACTGGAAATGGACTATCATATCAACGATGGCGCTAATTTGATGACGGTCGGGCGGGACGGTGCGGAGAAAGTATGGAAATCTTGCTTTGTTGCTCAGCTCGTTGCTAGACGCCCAAAAGGACATGATTGGTACATGGAAGAGTCCCGTAAGCTGAGCTACTGGGATACTCGTAGCGCTTCTGGAGGTTCCTATTATACCAATTAACTCATGCTTTGACTGACCTTGAAACAAGGTTATGTTAGATGAGAGTGCCCAATCTGGGCAGGCATCTTTGAATGCATCCGGTGAGATTTCCTCCAACATCATGAGTGACATCCAGAGGGCAACGTCTTCGTTCCGGCAGTCGTCTCTGATATCAAAGCCAAGGGTGATGTTAGGTAAGACGTCGTCTCGGCTGTTGATGTCCCTGACTGCCCATACCATAGCCTCGGCGTGAACTACACCACGAGGGATGACATCCGTGTCACAATGATCGGAAAGGCTTCCATGAAGCGACAGTAAAGCTCCTAAGATGAAGTCACCGGACTCGCGGTAGACCGTGCACGCTACTGCATCATCGGCCAAACCAGAATGCAAAAAGACGGCCAATACGACCAGGCAAATCACAGTCGCTTTATTCATCATCGCGATGGAATGACGCCACGAGAAAACGCGTCCGCTCTTTGCAAGGTTTGCGAAGGGAATAATAACAAATGAATAGCAGAGGCGAGTTTTTATGGACAAGGAAACACAGGCAGAAAGCACATCATTACATTTCTGGACTTATTACTTTTGTTAGCAGAGAACGAGTGGTTTTTATTATACCGTGGCTTTAGCATGATTAAACTACCGGTTCCCGTGTGTCATTGTCATGCTGATGATGACTGCTCATCCACAGAATCATCAAGCATAGATCTCACGTGATATTCGATCTACCGTGCAACGAAACCTCAGCCAAACAAGTGCATGAGGCCTCTTGTTTCACTAGTAGATGGTCGAGGTTTGATCACCTTTGGAATATTAACATTTATCTCAGTTCGGTATTTCATCTATTTAATTTTTGAAATCAGCGTACACCATAGATATTTGCTTAGTTAATGGAGCAAATTCCCGGCGGACTTAGCGTACAATTTCCCTCTAACATCCATCCTTGATTGAATAACTGTTTGCAAACATAACAATGATAAATTTGTCCGAGCAGAATGAGCTGGGAGTATTCTGTGGCTTTTGGAACGGTCCAAAATCATTAAATTTCAATAACAAAACGAAGGAAGCGTGTACGAAGTGTTGCTAAATACACGACTTTGTGTTCGTTATGACAAGGCAAACTGTCGCAAGCAAGCCTTGATTATTAATCTGGTCAGTTTATTTCACATTATTGCGCTGTTTCGATGAGAATTGACATAACATGCGCCACATAAGGCACACATTTTCTTCTTTGGTTGTACTTTCATGAAATGTAATTGATTTCCCAAAAGGCAAGCAAAAAATAAAAACAATTATGTCGTGAAGTGCATTATTCAAGGGATATTCAATGAGGTACTTCCTAATCCCCAAGTTATTGGCTTTATTATGGTGATTGGTAGATATTCAGTTGTTTGCCTGGTAGGTCACTCTCTCTGTCATTTTAACAAATTTGTAGCAATTCTCCACAGCCCATTGCGTTGCCTGTGGGTTTTCCATTTCTCTATGTGCTGGATATTAACTTAATAACAAGCCCAAAAAGGACGAGCACCCTTGCATTCCCTCTTCATCTGTTCGTCCACCGGTGAGCTCACTTGGCCATTGCTTTCGTGCTTTATCTCGGTGATGCAGGGACACAAATAAATTTGACAGTAATTTTACTTCAATATCGTTGTAATTTTTATCAATGATATTTCAATCGGCTTACTAATATTGAACTGAAAATATAGGCCGTACCCGGCTGCGTTTATAAAAATTCACAAAAAATATAACGCGTCGCGCTCAGTGAGAAGTGCTGCTATTATAAATAGCGCCCCCTATTGACGGGCACCAAACAATAATAAAATTAAATACCCAGTATTAGGTCAGAGTTCACAATATCACGTGTAAATTTCGCGCTCTTTAAATCGTTTGGCGCTGAACGGAAGAATACACGTTTTCCTTGGGTTTATTTCGTGAAAAAAAATTTCATTTACCATGCCTGGAATTGAGGACTGGTTGAACTGTCCACTGGACATCGTTCAGGGTTTATTCGGTAAGATTATTAATCAACAGACGAAGGTTGTTCCTCGGAAAATTGTCAATTTTGACCTTCGTTCGCGTTGAGGGGCATGATGGAGGCCGTCATGGCAGGCCTTGCTTTCTTTGTACCTTTCACGTTAGGCCTGAGCCTACTAGGTTGTATGTGTTCTTTGTTCAGCAACTTTGAATTAAAAACATCTGGATAGGTGATCAACTGGCATGACTGACAATCTGGAGCATGGTCATGCTTAGTTCTACTAAGTGGAGTGCTAGTATTCCTCGCAAAAATTCCAAAGACTCACGAAAAATACCTCTATCACCACAGGCTACTGGCTTCCATAAATGCCACTGTCAAACGGTTGGGGCTTCAGTGCTATATCTGACTTCAAAATCTGTCAAAATCCGACGGTTTTGTCTCGGCAGAGTCGGCACATATGAGAATTGTTTTAATCTTACTAAATGAACGTGCGTGGTGCGTTAGTATGACGATCCCGTCCAAATCGTTAAAAAGGAATACTAACGCTCCACTTAACATGCTTAGTAGAGCTAGATCATGTTGATGGTTTATTAGGCTCACTGATCTGCATCTAGAAGTGGAATGTGTTTTAACCTTTCTTCTAGCCCCACTAGTGTGGCACGGACTCTCACTCCCGCTCCATCCTTAGCCACACATCCGTTATCCCCACTAGTGTAGCACGGACTCTCACTCCCGCTTCATCCTTAGCCACACATCCGTATACGCAATTTCGTGTTGGCGTACTGAAAATTTTCGGCGCACCTACTTATCATCGTTGGCGCAATTTCTTTTGCACACAGAGATGATCCTTAGCCTCTCCCTTTTCTTAGTGCCATTGATTGAATGATTTCATGCACGTTGTTCTGGTATTTTTCAGTCTTTTTGCCTTCACCCATTCAATCTCACGGATTCGCTCTCACAGTCACCATCTTTAAAATAAGGTCGTTGAACATTACATCACTTGACCCCTCAACAGCTGTTCCATGTCAAGAATCTAAACTACTGCCAAAGTTTTGGAAGAGCCCATTGGCACAAGTAGTATCTTATCGCTCAGTCTGTGTATTAGATATGTCTTTTCTCATATGAATGCGTTTCAGTATTCGTTGACATCTAGGTAACATTTAGCTTTCTGTTCTTTCTAGATGTCACTAATAAAAACTGGTCCAACAAGGTGACAGAATACTTCAATAAGAAACTTCAAGACAAAGACAGCTTGGAATGGGTGAGAAAAATTCCTGGATAATTGATTAGAAGACAGTGTACAAAATAAGTCAGCAATATGTCAGCAGGGTAGTCACCAAAGCATAATCAGTATACATTTGAAAGTTGTCAGCAGTACTTATTGTCAGAACTTTTCTTTGATACTTAGGTGCCGTCACTGAATCATACATCTCTTCATCTTCTCAAAGCGAACACCTTGGTGCGATTTCGTTGTATGATTCAGGATATGTATGATCCTGAGTTTTATCTGGGAGCATATGAAGTTGTTGACAAGACATCTGGGCAAACTGTAAGTATTAAAACCCACACTTTGAAGAACTTTTTCTCTGTGTTTACTGATTGTTTTCTCACTTAATAAAATACCCTTTCCGTCCATCTTCCTGCACAGACAATAAAATCTGGGACGTTTCAAGACCTTGCTGAGTGCACTCAGAACCAACGGCTGAACTTGGAATCGTCAAGGAATGTCACCCTTGACAGACAGACATTCTACTGTGTCCCCGTGCCTGCTGAGACAGAATGGGTCAAACAAATATCCTTTACTCTAAACCAACATATTTGTTGACACAAAAAACAGTGATTTCAATGTTCCTTTAGCTTTTGTGTGATAATTCTAACTTGACATTGAAGTTAGATTGAAAGGTATATTTTTCCTTAATCTGAATTTCTAAGCCTTTGCTGAAAACAGTCGATACCAGACCTGTGACCCAATTACTTCACAGAGTTCACGAGTCAAAAGGGCACTGGAGGTCGATGACACCACTGTGTCATCAGCACAACCAATTTCAAACCAGTCTGGTGACCATGACACTGATGTAACCATGGAGACCTCAGATGTCAGCCAATTTGATAAGAGAACAAGAAGGTCAGAGGCCACAGGTCACGGGTCAATGACACCAGTTGACCTAAACTTTCCTTTACCTGAGGAAAAGGGGCCCGCCTGTATGGTCAAGGTTTGTGTACTTTTTCTGAATTTTTGATTTTTAGATGTTCATCAATGCTTACATTTCTGTATTTGGCGCTGCAAATTGTTCTTGAATATCAAACACAATGACACATTTTTTCTTTTGCACTATTACAGGTGTATGATCATTTTGAGTCATTCCGTGTGAATGATATCGTTGAGTTCATTGGAGTTTTGTCTGTTGACCCCGAATTGGCTAATTTACCCGGGCAAGACAATAATGGGTAAGACATCAGCAAAATTGATGAAGTGAAACAAAGGAATGAATTTCAGTGCTTCTTCATGATCATGATGCTGGAGTAAGTTATTACACCCACTGCACTAGGGAATGTAAATGGGAAAGCCCAACTCTTCACGTTTGAAATATTTACTTCAGGAGAGGTTTTAAAGTGATTTCTCACAAGTACAATGAATTTCTAGTTTCTTGTGTCTCAGTACCAGAGTGTGGGCCTGGCAGTGCTTCTGTTTTGTTTTATGTTATATCCTTGTCACTTTATTGTCTGGGTCTTTTTCCTGGCACTTTGTAACCATAGGAAAAGAAACTATATAAATTCTGTTGTCATTATTTTGCCCCTTGAGTTTTGGAAATTAGATGGGTCTTTGTCTCGACTATTATTATTCATATTATTCAAAGAGTGCAAAAAGACTTGAAGGAAGTGCACTTAAGATATTCGATTTAAACTTTTTTGTACTTAAGATATTAAATTAAAAAATGTTGTCCTATTCCTGTCCTTGGCTCCATGAGAAGTGGACTATCTTCCGCAATTGACGGAGCTGACGAAATGGAAGGAATTGAAGAGCAAACTGCACATTCTCCTCCACCTTCACTGGTACCCCGTCTTCATGCAGTTATATCACACAAGCTGCAGCACATTAACCCCATGTTACCAGTTAGTCTGGAGTCAGAAGAAGGTAACATTTGTAAGTATTCTTTTTGGTATTCACTGATAAATATCCGTTGCAGTATTGCGGACAGAACTTGTAGGAAACAGCATTGTGCACTTGCAGGGCCCAAATTTTACTGCAGCGTCTGGCTTGTGATATGACTGTAGCAAATGACTGTAGCCTTGTCAAGGGTAGAATTCAATATGAAATGTGGTCGTGACTTTTAGCCCAAACTGCTGTGTGGAAGTATAATTTTCAAGTCAGAAAACTTTGAGTCCAATAATATTTATTGTAATGGCATTCGCTACACATTTCTTTTCCAGTTGTGCAAAGCATGATGGGAGAATTGGGTTCTGTAAGGGATCAGCTCAGATGTCTCCTGCAGCAGGTTTTGTTTGGGGATTCCCTTTCTGCTGACTACCTCCTCCTCAATCTTGTGTCTTCTGTGTAAGTAGGAAACAGGTGGTTAATTTATTTGACTTTAAAATAAAATAAGAACCATGTGCCCATAGTGTTTACTCTTTTGAAAATGTGACAAAGTAAAGTTGTAAGACAGCAAACTTGACTACGAATTGGACTGATTGGCTAGTATTTCAATGATCACAGTTTGCATATATTCCAATGATCATGGGACAGGTATGCAAGAAGAGATGTGGTTGCTCTTGGGAAGTTCACTGTGAATCTGATTGGTTGCCAAGAATCTGGATTCAGCCAAATGCTGCAAGGTTTACTCAGCCAACTTGTTACCAAGGTAACCTATCCTTCCATTATTCTCATACTTCCCTGAAATGTTTGTTTTAATGTCAACGTAGCTTCTTTGTGATGCATGAATGTAACTTGAGGAGTGTTTCATTCTAATCAGAAATATCTGTTGCTTCCATCCTCACGTATTCCAGCTTAACATTCTGGACATTGTTATCATTTTCTGTCATTTAGTTTCACCTGCTTCCATTGTCCCTTCAAAACATGAACAGCCTGCGATTGACTCCTAAGAAGGACTATACTGCCAACAGGTTGAAGAGTGGAGTGTTACAGCTGAGTGATAGAACCCATGTATTGCTTGATGAGACTGCACTTCAACCTGGCCAACTAGATACAAATGGTAAATATGCCATAAAGGATTTATTAAAGCTTCTTGCATTAGATGGATTATTGAAATGAAGAGACAGGTGTGCAGTACTTCTCCACTTTGTGACCAAGCAATTAGGTTATTTCCTCTTACTTGACTAATTCATTTATTTGTGTTATGACCTAGGTGTTCACAATCTGGCTGCTATTGGGAATGCCATTTCTTGGCAGAAGGTGGATTATGATTTTGAGTTCCACAAGACGGAATTCAAGACAAATCTTGTCTTCTTGGTCACATCAGAGGGCAAGTCATTGCTACCAGTAAGTTGATCCAGATATCTGGTAGTGAGACTTAAGACCTGACACTTCTAAGTAGTTCCTTCTCTGAGGGTTGTGCCTCTGTCTTGCTTGGGGAGTGTCTTGGTTTTCATCATAAGGTTTCAGGTACATTTGGATCACTCATTTGACTGAGGATTAAAATGATGGCCAGGGATGTTAGAATGGCAGGTAGGGATGCTTCTCACACAGTAAGAAACAGGCGTCTGTGATAGCAGAGTGGCTCAGGCTGTGAGGTTCACTGTAGTAAGCCTTTTGCAAGTAAAATTTCAATAAAATCAGGTGCACTGAGTTATCTGCTTACACATAAACATAACAATTTGAATTCCCCAGACAAAAAGACACTGTTGCTATACCTCGTGATTTGAGGCAAGCTTTTGCATAGCGACCACCATCCCTGGAATGGACTGGTTCCTATGTACACTTCTTACCCAGTGAAAACAGTGTATGAGTGCAAGGCCTCTCTCATAAGCAAAAGCTTGCTCCAAATCACGTGGTATAGCAACAGTGTCTTTAGTATGGAGAAATCAAATTGTTTTGTTCAAATTTAAAGAACTCAGTGTGTCAGATTTTATTGAAATTTAAGTGGCCAAAGTCTTATTAGCAAAGATCAATTCTGTGTCTTACTGGTAACTGAAACGAATTGGGTTTATACATTTCCTGAGGGTGAACCGTTCATTTGATCATTTTCTTTTCAACAGCATGATTGTCAGGTGGTACTTCAACCCAAGACATCATTGAACATTGCTGATGTCCAGAGGGGAATCCATCAGTTGATCAGTTCAGGGAGTGTCAACCTCACTCGAATCAGGACTTACCTTGGAATTATTCCATTCATTCAGTACAACCTGACAGAGGAAATGTCCAAGGTACAAGAACAAACTACATTTGTGACCTTAAATGCAATCCCCTGAAACAGCTATTATCTAGGAAAAAAGTAAAAAAAAGAACAAATAAGAACACAATGTACCACAGATTCGATAAACTTTTCCTTGATACATTTTCTACCACAAGCAATTGAAATGTAGTTCCAGCCACTAAAATCTCCAGGAGTCCCAGACCTCTCTTGAATTTAAAAGATTCCATTTTTAATACCACGTTTGATTTTCAGTAAACACAGTTGCTTTCAAATCATTGATTTTCAGATTGTTGAACAGGACTTTGTGGAGGCACGGAAGTCTGATCCTAGCCAGATGACACAGGAAGATTTCCACTCTCTCTTGATAGTAGCAAGGTGAGTTGATTCCCTCCCTGGCTGCTATCTCCCACCCCTACCCTGCCACCAACTCCCCACCCCTGGTCTGCACCCCGCAACCTTGGGGTAAACAAAGGCTGTAAATATTCCCTAGCAGAGCTTAACTCTAACAGTCCTCGATCCTGCAATTTCAATATAATTTTATATACACCCAAGGGGGTTAGGGCTAAGGCTAGGCCTCTGTCATAACCAGTGTCATCAAAGACATAAATGACAGAGAGGATATTTACCAGGCAATGGGAACAAAAGGATGACAGTTGTCCTTATTCATTAGAGTCACAGGTTTACGAAGTTTGCCTTGTTTTGCTAGATTATTTGGGAAATGGATGATATTGCTTTTGAAGGAAAGGAAACGTGGGGTTTAAGAGGAGAACTTTGTACCGGTTTTGTGGGGGTATGGAAATGTATTGAAAACGCATTACCAACAATATTTAGTCATTTTGTTTTAAGCATGTTTTGTGTTTTTCCTTTGTGGGCAGAGGAGTTAGTGAAATAGACAGAACAATTCAGAATATTTGAAATACTTAAGATTATCTTTGTCAGGATGTTGTGCTGTTGTTTTTCTTGATCACTGGATGAAACCACGGTACTCGTTCTTGTTCTTTTCCTGTCATTCCAGGTTGCTGAGTGTTTCCATGGGCCACAAATCTCTGACCAGAGATATTTGGGAGAGGACAAAACGAATGGAACAAGAACGTAAGATAAGACTGAAGAATGCATCCTCTCAACAATGAAGAAGTCGATCAAGAGCCTTTGATGGAAATTAGTAGACTGGTCACCGGGTGACATTTGTCCTGAAAATTTTAACTGAGGGGTCACTTTTAAAGAAGACATTGTAGAGGAAATGTTGACATACAGACATAAAGTTCTTGATACTTTCCAAATTGTAACCCAGTGCCAGTCTAACTAAACGAAGATGAATAGAGAGAATGATTTTCAAAAATCAGGCTTAACTATCTTTTTCTCATCCAAAATTTCTCCCCAGTTTGTACCAAACGTCGATAACACCTGCCTGTACTGATGTCATATTTGAGTTGCCATATCTGGAAAACCAAACCTTTCGAGTTGATTTCAAAATTTTCACTGATGATTTCGTCTTTAACAATTCTGTACCACGTGTACCTTTTGACTGGCGTAAAGATGTGTATTCTTCAAATGTCAAGTGTGTAAAATATGGCATCTTTAGTAACATTCCTGGAGTGATTTGCTTGTAGTAACACAGAGCTATGTTGTGGTAAAGTTCACTTCTATAGTTCATTGCACGTCAAATAAAAAAGTGCATGAACAGCAAGACTTGAAATTTTGTCCTTGTAAGTTCTTTCCAGAAGTGCTCCGGTGCCCCTGGTGTTTTCATTTGATTTACTTGGTCGCAGATTTACTAAACAAAAACATCTTTGCTACTTTTTTAGCAGTGTAATAGGGATTTAATATGGTTTTAACTCCCTTGGTGTACAAATCTTTTCGGAGGCCAAAGAGATAAAACTTTTACCTGGAGGGGTATTTTATCGCCCATGTTTTTGAGCCTTAGACCAACATCAAAAAGATCGGTCCACGAGACCCCGGGCGCAGCGAGACGGACTGGTACACCATACCGGATTAAAGGCTCGTGAGACGGCCTGTAATTGGCCTGATTCGCCGCTAATCAGATCACTCTCCCGTGCGTGAAAGACACGAAATCAAATCAAGCGTGGACGAACAACTGGCGATTACCACTAACACCTTCATTTTCTCCATGATCGCTTCCAGAGCGTGGCGGGGCACTCCTCTGAAGGGGAATCACAACCTCTAATTTCGGTGACGACAGGAGAAAAAGTGGCCAAAACAGGAGGAAAGTTTGTACAAACAGACCGAAACATTGGGTTGAATTTGTGATTCGGGGTTGAGAGGAAATATTGGGAGCGAGAGGTCTGGATTCTGTAGTGGAACTGGGACGCGGCTGATGGCCTTTAAGATGATGAACTTCAGAGATCAGAGAGTTCACAAGGCCGCACAACGCGTCTTTTCATTTTCCGCTGTAACTAATCCAACTGCAATGAAAAAAAAATCCGAAATTGAGCGACTGTAATTTTAAGGATACTTTCAATCATGCAGGAAGGAAAAGTATAAAACCCTGTGCAGTTTTATTTCGTCGAACTCTCCCTATCCCGATACAAAGAAATAAATACGACAACCTTGAAAACATCAAGCCTCTCCAATTTAGACATCCATAGGGAGATATCAGTATGATATAACCTCTAACCAAAATCTAAAAAAGTCAAATACCCTCCCTTCTGGATGGATTGAGACTGTCGTTTCACCCTTTCTACGACCACCAGAATTTCAGTGACGTAACCGATAATTGGCATGAAGGTAAACGATTCTTAATTTATTCGTTGTTTACACGAGGTGTTCCCGATTCTAGTAATCGATACCTGGGGCTAATCGTGGGGGCAAGCCCTATCTTGGGAAAATAAATCAAAGGGATCAGGCTGGCGAGATGGATCAAATCATCAAACATGAATTTCAGCCATGGTTTCTGCACAAAGAAACAAAGCGATAAGGCGGGATCGTGGTTAGACCGCATTCCTTCCTCCATGGTTACATCACAGAGCTAGGAACAACAATAATGGTGTTCTTTTCGGCGCTGTTGTTAAGATATTCCTGCTGTGCTCTGCGCCCTCAAAGAGAATTTGCATTATTCCTTTGATCACGGTAATTGTCGCTAGTTTATGCTATAGTTTCGGCGTGGTTGGTGCAACCAAGCAACTGTTTTGTTTTCTATTCTTCCTTCATTTTCCTGTTGTCATGTTTAAAGTCGTGCCTGCATGGTTGGTGATAATTAAAAGTATTCGAACGAAGCACGCACACCCATTGGGTGATCTTTCCCACGGAGGGGACAGGACAGCTTATTTGCCTGTGAAACGTGATACAAGTTATAGGGATCAAATGCCCTATACATGCTATATGGCTCTTCTTGTGAATTATAGTTCAGTATTTCCAGACAGATGTCACAAGCGATGGGTGCAGTAATGTAGCAGTATAGTTTGCAGTTTATAGCAATTGATGGGTAGGGACATAATCACTTCTCGAAAGCAGTTTAAATGGGCTTTTTACGGATAAAAAACTAGTGCATGTGTATATCAATCGTTTCCAAGCGAAACTTTATTGTAAATTCTGGTGTTTTTTGTGATATTGTCCAACGCAATTTGTCGAATTTTATACTTCAGTACGCCACGCTCGGCCGTCGGCCTGAAAGAGTCTCCCAAGAACCATGGAGGAAGGAGGGGATGACCTACCTCTATGCTTACAGGAAAGAATAAAGTGAATTCCTTCCTCTACACAAGAAATGACTCACGTTACTCTGAAGCATTTAGCTGCAATTTGTAAGATTAACTGCCATTACGTCATGTATTTCACGCTCGATTGGGCAAAGCCGGAGTCCCGACCACACCAAAATATCAACTATCCTTACTCGGTGAAAAAATAAAGTAACTTGTAAATTTGCGGCCCCACTGCTCGACCCCCCTGGCGACCTTTTATTACTCCCTACCCTTCCGCGTCACTGGGTTTGCATTTTCTCCCTTTCTCTAACCCGAGGGCTTGATTTCTATACTGATAGCAGTGATTCCGTGTAATAATAGACAAGCCAAAAGATAGCGCGATCGTCGGCCCTTGCACCGGCGGGGTGAGTTGCGTCTTTCTGCCTGCCCGTCTCCGTCGGCCTGCGCGGTGCGAGTGAGCTGAGCTGCCCTGAGGCGGCGTTAATTGCGTGAATCCGATAGGCTATTGTTTTTTTTTTCGGGTGCTGCGTGGTAGGTGATGCACTGGCTGACACATTCTCCGCCTGACTATCAGAGTGTGGCTCACGCTGGATGCAGACTCAGCGTGAATGACGTAAAAGTGAGACGGGGATTTGGGGGCTGAATACCGGTATAGAGCAAAACAGATAGTACCGTCGGAAACTGCTCAACATCTTCAATGCCGTACTCTACGTTCTCGGTTTAAAAGAAGCTTCTGCTATCTTGAATCTGAAGCATTTCTTTTCGACTGGAACTAAAACGCCAAAGACGTTACTACAAGAATCACTAACAAAGTCCTTCGTGCGTGAACGATTTGAACATGATGCATTTGTTGTTCTTCGGCATCTTCGCAAATATCGATAACGCCTGAAGTTTGGAATAACTTCAACACAAGGCTGCCTCTAACTTGACCATTTTGATCAAGCAAGTGTCACTCTCGACATCCTGAACAGAACCGGACAGGTTGGTTTGGAACGGTGAGTATGTTTGAGTTTCTGAATTGGATCACCTTCTTGTTGTCCGCTGTTTTCCAAATAGGTTCTGTAAACAATTTCATTAATCATGAGGTTCGTTTCTTTTTATGAATTAGTTCGTCATTTCCTCCTTTTGCGCTTGGGGAAGGCAGGGTAAACAAAATTGCTTTTATTTGAAAAAAAAACAACCAAAGATTTTGATTTCCTTAACTTGAAAGAACTTGACCATTTGAGCATTACGGTGCCGGTTCTGTCGTAGTATGGCAGTTTTGTTCATGTTATGTTGACATGCCACACCAAGTCCGTCATCGGTATGAACGATTAGTTTCAAGGAATTCAATTTCATCTTTGAATCATTGCAGCGTGATGAGAACACTTAGTGCCGATTGCTTAACTCAGAGCAAATCCACGCGCTTACTTATGAAAATCAAAAATTCGCTGCCGGACAAAAATCAAGTCAATTTAATCCACAATTGCCATAACGCCACTACACCGATGAACCGTGGCCATTATTTCGATGTCGGCTTAAGTAATTCCACGACCTCAGGGCCATGATATTAATGTAAGAACCCCGAGGCAAATGGACAACTTTCCCCCGTCACTAGAGATAGACTGGCAGGGCAGCCCAGGCAAGTACGTGCGGCGAAATTTCAAGGGTAGTCACGGTAGTCGCACTAGGGCTTCATCTTCCCTGAGCTGTGCGTCAGAGTTTGATGGCGAAGAAAATGTTGTGGTTACAAACAGGATGGTCGATGTCAGCATTATAACGGATCACTCGGGCTTGCACTTGGGGACATATTTGCAATCGCGACGCATTAATTACCGTTGGCTGATTTTTCAAAGGGAATCTCAATTTTGAGTTAATAAACTTCAAAACCTATTGGTTACACTTAGAAAAATACATTTCTGTACGATGGCCGTGATGTTCACGTGTACGCTCGTTCAGTTCTGTCGACAAAGTTGAATCTCCGAATTCAGAATATCGGTTAAATACTTCGTTGGTCTTCAAGATTATATCTGTGATTTTTAGTTTTCAGAGCACTCACCGATGGATCACGCACAGCGATCATCCCATCAACAAAATTCACTCTCATCACCGTCACCACCTCCAATTGCACCTTCCTCACAACTCGCCACTACAAACTCCACCACTGCGACCCCATCCAAGCCGATTCATCACCACCACAACCAACACCACACCAGTCTGCGATCCAAGTCGGAACTGATCAATCTCATTCCCGAGGAGACCGACGAAGAGAAGCAACGCGAGATAGCGCAGCGCAAGACGGCGAGCGATCGTGAAAGAACCCGCATGCGGGACATGAACGACGCCTTTGAGATGTTGCGGGCGAAGCTGGCCCATCGCAAGCAACCAGGCAAGAAGATGTCTAAGATCCAAGCTCTTCGCTTTGCTATCGAGTACATGTCGGACTTGGAGGAGACGTTGACAATGACAACAAGATTACCAGGTGCCGGAGGGGCTTACTACCAATGGGCGAGAACCAGAGGCTTTATTTGGGCCAGAGAAAAGGTGAGAATTGTCTTCGACTTGTCATATTCGGTACAGTCTCATTTCTTCTCCTGCGAGGTTGTTGGTGAAAATAATTCATTCATACATCAGGTACAATTAATGTATGTATATTTGGCAGAAATTCTCAGTAAAGTTTGACTGTCGCAATCGTATATTCAAACCACGTAACGGTTGGTTTGCCTTCACATCATTTGCTTATCGAATTGTTACTGTAGTCTGTAGCCCAGTCAATGAAAAAAATATTCGTTTGTGTGACCGATATAAATTATGGTATTATTTGGCTTATAGCGTGATGCTAGTTAAAGAAGATTTCGTCGTTATCTGATGTCCATCACATTCCGAAGTGTTTCGAATTCCCAAGTATTTTTTTCCATCATAATAAATAAATCTAATTTTAGAGTTGATAATTGGCATCTCCAATTCTCTCTCAACTTTGTGTGGAAAAATAAATCTGTTCCAGCATTAATAATTTTTTGTCTTTCCCGAACCAGGCTAAATTACCGGAGTACCACAACCTGCAGCAAATCAGTACAGACGGCAACGGTAATTGTCTTCCTGTCAGCGATCAGTCTCAGCTCATGTGCCCCGTGCTCAGCGTCGATTCTTACGGTGGGGTCGGGGCTGGTGCTACCGCTTCCCCGGTGCTGGGACAGGACATCGGATATCCGTCCAACGGGATGCAGTATCCCATCCCATCTCCAAATGACGTCACGCTACGACCGTAGCTTTATCTCTGAAACTGCCATCTTAGTTCTTGTTGTGTACATAGGTAATTACTTCTCAGTATATTTTACATTAATTTCAAATACTATCAGTCTATTCGAGTGTATAATTTGGATGACTTTCCTTTAGACTAGTCAAACATTTCGTTTAGCATACTTTTTGGCAAACCTAATGACTCTGTGATAGCTAGTAATAACCTGAGCCATAAATGTGATCACAGTCGTCTTGCTCTCGAAGTGTAATAACAGGTGTTGCATTGTGGGTAATCTAAACCAAGGCATCCATCTGTTGACTAAAGAATATTTGGGAGCCAACTTGGAAGCTTCAAACAGAACTGTATATATTGAAATAAATCGATAGTGACTGGATTTTCAGTTAGCAGTGTAAGGGGAACAGTAATGATAGAAGTTTTCCAATGGTGAAGTGTTTCCCATGAGTGTTTGTATTATAACCAAGTGTTGCTTACCTAATCCCCTCCCTGGGTAGAATGTGATGTTAATATTTGTGATGACAGGAAAAAGACTTGCACATAAAGCACAGAAAGCACTTTTGTCCATCGGCTTTTATTTGTATTTCGTTAATTACTTCATTTAAATTCACCCACATATTTCAACATGATGGTGGAATATTCATATAGTTTTCTTCTTCCCCTCAAAAAACTCCTACCCGAGTAAAATTTTCGAACTTCATCAAAAGTGAGTTTTGAGAGTAAAAACAGCACACCTGTCAACTTTAAAAATTTACTGCTCGACCAATACAGCATGTAAATGATTAATGGTGTATACAGACATGTACAGTGTACTTTTATTCAGAACTGAAACCATCCCTCTTCTGTACCACACCTCACAACTTCACTTGACAAAAATCCCCTCGGGGGACTACAGTAACTCATCAAGACTTTCATTATGTTTCCACTGAACGGACCTTTCAAGCTAAATGTAACTTACATGTACATGTGTTGTGCCTAGTGCGTAACATTCATGTCCATACCTGAGATCCATTAAAACGAATCCTAAGGGAATGAGTCACTTTGTATGCTATATGAAGTTATCACTGCAAATAAGGCACAATCACAGCAACTATAAAAAGGGACTTTTGGATTCCATGAGGAAATCCATCAGTAATTATGATCCATTTATGGTCAGGAAGCAGCTTAAAACATACCCCCAAAGAATAATGCATTGAGACCATTGGCTTCTCTTCTTTGAATCCCTTGGCAGATCTAATTGAAATCTTACTCCTAATTTTTCTGCTGGAGATTTCCACCCCTGTATTCCGACATGTAACAATTCAGCCACTTGCACATAAGAGTGCCAATTTGTACTCTCTTCTCGGTTTGTGTTTTCTTGGGAAGTTTAACACAGACATGAGGACTACCGGTAGTTAAAGTTATTTGCGTATTTGTCATGATAACGTCGTTGCTCCAGCTTATTCATGGCATTGGCAACCCTTCGAAGAGCACTCCTGAGAAAAGAATGTGACGAGAAAGAGAAACAAGATTCAAGAAAATACCTGCAAACTTGAGCAAGCAGAATCAAATTCTTTGCAAATACAAATGAAAGTCAATTTGCTCATTTTTAACAACTGTTCGCTAAGACTTGAAGCAAAAAGAGTACATGATTAAAATTAAATGTGGCCATGAAACTCACGATATCACAACTCTGCTGCTTCGTTCCCAAACTTGCAAATCAATCAGAAATGTCCAAGTGAATATTACAAAACCACTGTATTCAGAATGTTAGAAATGAGGAATGGTAACTCTAGCTTGAAAGATGCTGACATGACCAAGTAATCTGACTGATTGATGCCTCCTACTTACTTATTTAGCACCTTCTTTTCCAATCTGTTCATGGCGGTGTTGGACGTTTTGGACAGGTCAGTCAAGTTGGGGTACTTCTTCGCCTTTCCTTTACCCTTCTTGTCCCCTTTTCCTTTGCCACTTGACGTGGATCCCAAATCAATGCCTAGCCCACCCTCTATGTCTTTTTGGAGCTCTGCATCAGCGAGGAGAGATTTAGCTGAACGAGAGGAGATGCTTGACATTGTCAGAAGGTACACCAACTGCTCTGGATGTGAACATTCTGAGGATATCTGGAGCCTGTTTCACACAATTGCTCAGCACAGAACATATCTGCTTAGCATAACAGCTTACAAGCCAACATGCTACATGATGAACAATGTGTGCAACTGGTCTCTGTTTTATTAGCAAATATATATTCTAAGCAAGTTTCTTTGTTATGCAGGTCTCTGGGATTAGGCCTGGGAGTTCCCAACCAGAAATCTTTCTCTCTGCACATGCTCAAACACTTACAATATCCCAGAAACATGACAAGAAGAAGCACTTCATAAGAGACTAACACTGCCTAACAGGACTGAAACAAATTCACAGAGAGGATTAAGATCAAGAGCTTGTCTCATTTCACCTTGTTTTTCTTGCTCCTCTGTCAGCTGAAATTTGGCCTTGTCTTCTGGATTCTGTGGTTTACCTTGCTCATCTCTTGGAATAATTTTTCCATGGAAAGGACACTGCAGTCATTTTGATCAGATCAGAAAGTTAAAGAACATAATCTCTAAAACTGACAACGAGAGACTATTTTTCATTTATTTCCATCCATTTTTAGTTGTGGGGATACAACCAGCAAATGCTGATCATTTTTGCCCTTATTTTACTAAAATTGATGAATAAAATTTTGAATAAATTGCAGTAGTGGGGTTGGAATTGATTTGAAATAAGCTTGCCAATACAGCTCTCATTTGAAAAGGATCTTAATAATGGACCCACCTTAAACCTGTCCATCCTCTGGCAAAGCTTCCCAGATGGCAAAGGGGCTCGGCACGTCCATTTTACTGGCTCAAACTTTCCAGTGTAGTTGAAGACACGGGTTGTCAGGCTATCCTTGACCGCCTAAGGCATCAAGAGGATGAGAAAGTTGAAAAAATCACAGGCAACACTTAACTTGATAAAAATATCAAAAGATTCCTCAAGGTTTCTGCTACACACAACAATGAAAAAAAAGCAATTCTAGGGAAGATGGACCGTCTATAATGAGCTTACTATTAGGTCACAAATGTCAATTTGTCTGTTCAAAAAGACTTATCAAGGCTCACCTCCATAACTTTGACCTCATCTGGTGCTGATGAACTCCAAACAACCTCAGCAGTATCAGCCCTGAAAGGACGGACAGGTGAATGTACTATCAGAATAGTAGTGAATAATAAATTGTTTTGTTAGTACTTCCACAAGAAGTACTTGTTTGTCAAACCACAAGATTAGTCTTCTTACAGAAGTGAAGAAGTCCAGAATTGTTTTGTTCACCCTCATAGGTACTTATAATTACACCCTTGGGTGAAGAAAAGCCATCGTAATTGTCCAAGGACAAGACAACAAGTATCATGTTTTTCTTAGAGGTGTTTCAAGACACATGGCAATACACCTGTTAGACACAATTACATGTATCATGACTCTCAAAATTTATGAAACAGCTTCATTATTGGATCCTTCCACAGACAAAACTGCATAATACTTCTCGTAGTAAATGGTAGTATCCAGTGCACAGGTCAACTGGTGTAGAGCGCTTGTTGTGTTTTATAGTAAACAGTGCTGTAGCCCAAATAAAGTATGTTGTATTGTGTAGTATTTGGTCTTTCCATCCCAATCAATTACACAGGTGTTTATGGTTGATTTGTAGATATTTGAATATCTCACAGTACAACTGTTGGTGCTTCTATCTTGTCTGGATTAGTCCAGTGCTCCAAGTCCACACCAAATGGAACATAAGGAGCTTTGGCCAGCAACTCTTGACGCTGACGCTTCTCGGCTGTCACTTCCTTGTCATCTGATTTCCTCTTCCTGTCACTTGAAATGAGTGTCCTGAAAATGATCATGATCAGAGTTGCGGTCATTTCAGTGACTAAAAGCGATCACCGAAACATGGGCATCACTAAAAACTATTAATAAGTTTTTCTTCATTTTTTTCCCTTCCCTTTGTCGTTTTTGACAGTTCTGTTGATAAGGTTGTTAATTATTTTGGTTATTTACTCAAGTGACATATTCTCTAGATCTGTCTGAACTCTTAAAGGATTGAAGGAATTAAAGCTGAGAAAGAAAAAAGAGCATTCATAAAGACGTTTAAGGTTTCTGTTAAGAATCTGTGGGCACTGTATACTTCAGGTCAATATGCTGATCCCTGATAGCTCGTAGTCTTTCCTTCATGGCTTGGAGGGTACCAGCCTGAGACGCTGGATCATCTATTGTATGTTGGGCCTCACGTAGTGGGTGCCAGGACTCCAGATCTTTACTCTTAGCAAGACTGCTACTGCTAGCAGTAGTTGATGGAGAGTCACTCATGTCATCCTTGCTGCTTTTGGAGGTGGATGGTCTTGAGTTGAGATTGTCTTGTGTTGATGACGTCTTAGATGAATCTTGATCGTCAGTTGGTAGAGGATCTAAACCTAAATTCCAATTGAAAAAAACACAAGGTTTAAAAAATCATGTCATTTCATGTACTGACAGAAACTCTGTCCTTTTTTCTTGGAAGTTCAAAGGTATTTTGTGAACAGCATCATTTCTGGTTTTGAGACAATCACAAAGAGTCAAATAGCACATTAGATTTACGGACTATTCTTTATTTGATATGCAGATTATTCTTCACTAGTTATTAGACTTTTCTTTATTAAATCTGCAAACTATTCTCCATCAGATATGCGGACTATTCTCCATCAGATATGCGGACCATCCTCCATCAAATACATGTATGTGGACTATTCTCCATCATATACGCAGACTATTCTCCATCATATACGCAGACTATTCTCCATCAGATATGCCGACTATTCTCCATCAGATATGCGGACTATTCTCCATCAGATATGCGGACTATTCTCCATCAGATATGCGGACTATTCTCCATCAGATATGGGGACCATCCTCCATCAGATATGCCGACTATTCTCCATCAGATATGCTGACTATTCTCCATCAAGTATGCGACTATTCTTCCGCAGACTCACCATACTCTTTTCTCAGATGATCAGGGATGACTGGTTCAAATCCTTCCTTTTCCGGAACGTCCTCAAATCCCTCCCCTTCACTATCAGAATCTCCGCCCCCATTGGCAGCCACTGCAGACTGCCTTTGTTGCTTGCTCGTCACCTTAGAATGGATGTCGAGTTCAGCGTACTTGGCTGCTGCATTCTTAAGAGCTTCCTTCAGATCCATGCATCTCTTAAGTTTATCCTCATGTTTGCCAGTTTTGATGAAAACCTGTGTGATAAAAATCCATCAACTTACAACTAAATAAGTGAATGATATGAAAATGTTATCCATGAAATCTTGTTTATTTATTTCTCATCAGAGGTCTTCATTTATCTGGATCTCAAATGATCTGACAGCAAGAAATCCAGTTGATTTTAGTAACTAATAAGCAATGAATGATTGACAGACTTTATGAAGCTGTTGGAGATGCACTTAATGCTTAGAGAAAGGACCCAAAATAAGCTTAAGTACCCAAATGCCAGCAAAGTTAGGTTTGACAATTTTTCAGAATCTGGTCTAGAGAGCTGGTCACCTCCATCCATGCAGCTAGATGAGGAAGGTATGAAGACTTGATGAGACGATTCATGTCTTCTAACGTCACCAAGATGGCTTGATTGTCCTCATCCTCTTCCAACATGACACCATCTACAAGCAAAGTGACAAACAGGGTTGAAGAAAGGGGAAACAGGGGAGATTTTACATTGTATTACTGCTTTCACGTTTTATGTTTGGGGCAAAACAAAGTTCCCACTTTAGAATCAGAATAATAATAATCAATAATAACTAGACCATTTATAGCATGCATAGTATCTGGAAAATACCATTCAAAGGGGCAGGTCTGGGAAAGTTAAAGATGGAAAGCAAGATTGAAAAGGTGTTTTTAGAATGAGTTTATAGCGTGAGAGATCATTTTCGTCCTTCAACGCGTCCAGCAAGGAATTCCAGAGACGCGCTGCAAACCTGGAAAAAGCCTGGTGTCTGTAGGTTGGGAACAAACAGAATGTGAGAAGATGACGATGACCTCAGGCCGGATCTCAGGTTGCGGTATTGCAGCATGTCCTGGATGTAAGATGGGGCGAGGCCATGGAGGGCTTTGAAGGAGGCTACATGGAATTCAAAGAAATGTCCGTTCTAGTCTTTTACCTGTATTCACATTGATAGCAATGTTGAAATTCCAAGAAGGCAGTCCATGCTGTTGAAGGAGGTCATCGTCCTTCCCATCATGGAGTGGGCTTGTGTGTCCATCTTTCTTCTCTACCAGGTGAGAGTTACTACTGTCAATATCCCGACTGTCCTTCTTGGTATCGCCTTCACTTCTGTCACCTTGTTTTGGGGTTTTTAAACTGTCAACTTGTTTTGCATCCATTGGTCTAACTTCTGTAGTTCTGGTTTTATCTGAAACCCCCTCTGTATGAATCGGCTGATCCTTCTGTGTACTTGCCAGTGTGCCTGTTGAAGTTGATCCTATTTGCTCTGAAGGGGTGACTATCTCACTATAGCGGGTAGGGTGAGGTAGAAGCAGCTCAAAGCAGTTATCAATCTGCGTCAGGCATTCATTTATTTCAGGGATTGTCTCTGTAGACGAAAAATGCCTATTATGGTTAGTGAAACATCCAAAAACTGAAAGTTTACACATACAACCAATATCGATAGAATTTTTTGGTTACATGGTTTGTTACAAAGTTGACAAAGTTTCTATCGGGAAATGCACGGATCAGTATAGTAGAAAACCACTTGTGTACGTAGTCAGCCTCTGTCATCTTTATCTATCCCTTGAACTCACATCCATGCAAGCGTACTTACCATCCATGTCATTAAGTATCTTACTAACTTGTTGAGCCAGAGCCAGCTCAACTTTAGCTTGTCTAGCAGCTTGGGCACGCTGCTCTACTGCTGTCCTTGCTTCTAGATTGGCAAAATCAACCTGGAAAATCATCCCAAAAAAATCTAAGACATCAAACCTAGCCAAAACTTTGGTCAAAACTTAAAGTTGCATTGCACAAGTGTACTACACTAGGCATTTACATCTTTATAATGTCATATACCATTTTGTTGTATTTGAGAAAGCCATATCCCAGAGCCAGTTTCTTGTAGGCCTTTCCATACTTTGCATTCCATTCTTGAATTGCTTTTAATGTTTGCTCCTTCAGAAGGTTAGCAGCAGCACGAGGAGGTGGTAGAGGGGTATCACTATTGGTGCCCACAGTTAACTCCAGGAACTCCTTGATTAGGAAAGGATACAACAAGAAAAGTAATCTGTGTTGCCAAGACACAAACAACGTCCTTGATTTAACTTACTAAATTAGATGTATTCTTAACGGGCTGGTTGGTTATTTTATTCATCCAGTAACTGAGCAAATTCCTTTCTTCTGAGTTTACTATTAGACTTCACCATTCAGCTTCTGGACAGTTTCTGTCCTCAAACAAGTTGGTCCCTAGCCATCCATTATCATTTTATTTACCTGCATGTCTGCTACAAGAAGTTCTCGAAAGCGATGTGAGCGATTGAAAAGCTCATTCATTATCTGGAAGGAGGAGAGACGGATTTCAGCGTGTTCCTCTGCTAGCTGATTAGACAATAAGTTAAAGGCATGCTCCACGTAGGCATCTGATGTCCTGTGATGAAAAAACAGTAACCAACTGTATTCTAGTAGCCTTGGGATGAAAACTTAAAAACAAAGTTAACAAATTTCAGTGATATCCCTTGTTCTTAGAAACTGAGACAGGTGTTCTAATTATTTTAAATCCAATGCAAAATTAACCGTAATGTCCTACAGATTTTTACAAGGAGCCTTCTTTAAGCTTAAAAATTCTTGCCCCCTAGACTTGCATGCAAACCCCTAAAAACACAGTTTTGAACTAAAAGAAGTCCAATACACATGCATTCACTAGACATGTATGTGTGCACACTGACAGCCATGTCACTTCTCAGCAGAAGACTATTTTCAGGATTTCTCTGAAATTGGGATGAATTTGACCAAATTTTTGATTGGTACTTACACTTGTTACGTCAGCAAGTGCAAGATTTTTGAAATGCAGTGAATGAAAAATGTTTTCATATTTTAAAGCCATAATTCATGGCACAATTGGGCTTCCTTTCTATCGTTTCCTCAGAAGAACCCTGTGGTTCTTGGCCAAGCTTGTTAACTTGCACAAACTGCTCACCTGCAGATTCTCTTGAGTTGTTTCAGAGATTTATCTTCTAGACTTGGCCTCCCTGAATGTGTCATTTCTTCAACAATTTTCTCCAGTTCTTCACAGAGGGTGCTGTCTAGCTGGTCTTGCCCAGAGGGTCTGGTGCCTTCTTTTCCAGATTTTGAAGGAAGTGGTGAACTCATGATGGATTGAGACTCTGCTACAATCATAAATCATATGCAAATGAATTTCAAGGAATAACAAAACACGTAAAAGGAAAATCTGCAGTAGAAAACAACATTAAAATAAAAGTGCATTTTAATATGAAACTAGAGTCTAATAAAAGAGGTGACACTTCCCTGAGCTACCCACATTACACCGGGCAGGGGCGGGCATCTGGGACATTTGCAAAATGGTGGTTAGCAACCATACCGTGCTGATTAAAACAAATGCGACATGCGCAACGTAATGATTGAGTAGCCTGATCTTCTTACTGGCTGGTTCACGCGCATTACCATGGTTGCAGTTGTTTTCATTGGTGCAGTGTGGTTGCTATCTCTCATTTTGCAAAAGTCCTGAATGTCCACCCCGGCCGCAGCCCGGCCTATTATTGGTGAGAGCAGCAGAAACTCAGGATGTGCACCTTCTTTTTTTAATTTGAGATTTATTGAAAAAAAATTAAAACCAGCTTGTTCTTTTTAGATGTTTTACCCAGACAAGTGAAAAGTCCTGCATTGCAACTGGTGTACACATTTCTTCAATAGAAAATATGTGTAATAGCACAACTGGTGAAGGTAGAATTGCGAAGTAATCCCGAACAACTATGTCGTAAAAGCCTCGTAAAAGTAATTTTATCCACATTTCAACAGACAGAAAACTATTTGAATCATAATTTAAAGCTTGATGTTCCTTCGTACCCTGCACAACATGGCATGAGGGCTTCAAATGTCAAATCAAACTTCGGACAGTCAGAAAAAGACACTGGCGCGATTGCACAGTCATCGCGACATAAACAACACTTCGCCGCTACAGTACCGAATTTTATTGGTTTCATACGACGATAGCAAGACATCAGCATATCATTAAACACACTCGGTGCACGTCCGTAAGACGCGTAGAAAATACATCCAGTTGCTGCAATAGCCTTCCCGTCGTGCAACGTTCGATCAGAGTGCTGCAATGTGATTGGTCAATTTATTTAAAGCGTCAATTTCAACACACACATGATAGTCAATTCGAACAGGAAACAGTTTTCTTGACAAACATTTCTTTTGGAAAATACTGGTTACTGTTTCGTTACTTTGACATCCATAAGGTACAGGCTTCATTCCGAAAGGAAGTTGTAGGTGATTGCAGCTTTTTGTGACTCATCGGTTCGAGAAAAATGGTGAAAACGAACGGGAAAGGACCGCAAGAAAAGAACATTCAAGTGTTCGTGCGGTGCAGGTTAGTTTCATGACGATGTTTTTATTTCCCCATGGATTGATCATGTTGTATTGTCATGCATTGTATTGTTGATATCGTTGTTGTACATAACTTGTAAGTTGTATTTTTCATCAGGCCAAGGCCTATGTCATAAATAGGAGGGAAATAACTTTGCATCCCGCCTTCATTTTCCAGGTCAAAAACATGAAAAAGCTAATTAGGGCTAGGGGCCTAGCTAGCCTAGTATTTATAGCATGAATAGGCATGATAGGCCGCCTACAGGCGCAGGCCTAGGCCTAACATGAATAAGGTTGAAACTATTACCATCAAATTCATGTGTAATTCTGATGCATGGTGTGAAATTTGAGATTTGTTTTTGTCAAGGAAAAAAAGGTTCATAAAGACTGCAATGAATCAGCAGCAAAAACTTGTATACAGACAGTGACAGATGTGTTGGGAAAAGCATGATGAACAGTTTGAATATCAGATAACTCTGACCATTTACCAACTCGACTCGGGATAACCTGACAATTTGACTGTGCAAGGTGTGAATATGTCAACTCACAATACCGGGCATGACATGTACGGCGATAATGCACAAACAGCTGGTGGGTGGCGCGTCGGCCACTCTAACATGCCTAACCAGCATGGTGTGAGGCCGTGACGGGAGCACGGCAGACGATGAACCCCACAGTTCTGGGGGTGGATGCAGTATGCATGGGGGCATAGCATACTCGCCGTGGGACACAGGCGCTGGTGTTGAAGACGGTTAATCTGTCCTCCGATCAAAGACTGGTTTCTAATTCTTCCTTTATCTTTTTGTAATTGGAAGGAAAGATGTGGGTGAAGTGACTGTAATTTACAGCTTACACACACTCTCACAGGTCAGTGAGGACTTACAGTATTCCAGTGGTCGAGTTGTCTGTTGATTTGAGGCACATATGGTCCAGTTGTCGTACAGGTGGAGTTGTTTCAACGGTCGACTTGGCCCGATTGGATTTGGTAAACTGTTGAGTTGTCAAAACCCCAATTTGCCGCAGGTGAAACAGTTGAGGTGTATCCAAAGTCTCGTAAATAGCGAGTGTAAATATGCTAAAATGAATGTTATGATTCAAAAGCCAAATGTCTCAGTACTGAGTCTGTTTGAGAATAATACTTAACGCCTACATGAAATCGGTTTGTTTTTTTTTTCAGGCCTATCAATGACAGTGAACGGAAAAGAGGTTCCCATAAGGTTGTGGAGGTCAGCCAGAATAAGAAGGATGTGCAGGTCAACATTGAAGTTGCTGAGAAGGCAGCCACAAAGACGTTCTCATTTGATAAGGTACAGTTTAACCAAAATCAAATCAAGTAGTTTAACCTTAAGCTTACTCATCCTTTAATATCCACAAGGAGGTTTGTGGCTGGAGGATGCCGTCAGAACAGCCTGAAGCTTGAGATTTTATGCTCATGGAATTAAACGATGGAGATGGCACCTTACGGTTCTTTCACACAAAGTTCAGAGAGAATTGAAAGGATTCAGGGATCAGGTTCCAAGAAAATATTGTAATGGCATTGGGAGTAAGCTTGCCTTGGTGACTGATAATAATATTTTACATCAGCTCTTTCAATTTCTAACTGCCTTGCGATATGATTGGCTCCCCTTGTTTCCAAGTTAACACACCTCTTGCGGACTTTTTCACAGGCATTTGGACCCAAAGCCAAACAGATCGAGGTTTACAAGAGTGTGGTCCTTCCTATTTTGGATGAAGTGCTCATGGGTTACAACTGTACAGTGTTTGCGTATGTATACCCATCCATGTCTGACGATAGACTGCCAGTGTTTGAGTCATCACAAGTGGGAACTTGTCTTTGCAATTCTTCTTTAAAATGTGCTTAAGGTTCAAATTAGATAAATGTATTTGGCAGATGATATCACCTGAGCTTTTATTAGGTACTTTGTAACTTTTTAGAGCAAGTTGCATTTTAGCCTCAATATAAGCCAAACAATTCTCCAAGTACTGGTTGTGTCAGTGATAGCTTTTATAAAGATAAAGAAATTCAAGTCAAAGAAATGCATTCAGTATTGAAACGGGAACATTTCATTGAGCTGTGTATGCTTTCTTTTATTCAATGGTCAGCTACGGACAAACAGGAACTGGTAAGACCTTTACAATGGAAGGAGAGAGGACACCAGACCCAGCCATGTCATGGGAAGAGGTAGGACTATTAATAAATCATGTTATCCTCCGACTTTAGTGTGTATTGGTTTTTAGACTCAAGTGCAAAGACTTGGTTGTTTGTAGCATTTTGTTTTCTTCTTGATGTTAACCTGCAGTAGTTTAAGGCTGATGATGTTTTAAACTGTCAGTGTACATAAATGTCGACAATGTTTCATTTTATTGGAAACATTTTTTGTAGGACCCACTTGCTGGAATCATACCTCGTGCCATGCATCAGATCTTTGAGAAGCTTCAGACGGCAGAGGTGGAGTTTTCTGTCCGTGTTTCCTTCATGGAGTTGTACAATGAGGAGCTGTTTGATCTTTTGACTGGTCCAGAGGACACGCAGAGACTGAGAATATTTGAAGATGCTGCACGTAAAGTGAGTTATTTTCCAAAGCACTAAGAATAAAGCTAAGGGGTCGTCGATTTTCATCAGCCTTTTCTGTAGCGTACTAAACAAACTCTTTTCTGATCTGCCTCCCCAAGAGTGTGTGCAAGAAAAGAATGACGGCCGATCGACCTTTTCCAAAGTGTACACAGACTGATGGACCCCTCTTCTCCTACCATGCATTTTATATGCTTTAAAAAAGGACAAAAAAAGATAGGAAGTCAGTGTATTTCAAAGTGGAGTTTAGGATTGCAATATAATTAAGTCTGAGGTATAATTGTACATGTATGCCACAGAATTTCAATAGTGAGTTTCTAATGGTAGCCTTATGTATATTTAGTGTTTCAACACTGTGACCTGTGTTACTGGAAAATCAGCGGATTTGCGCTTAAGCACAGAGCCCTTTACTTCCTTGTCATCCATCAAACAGCTTTTGGGGGATGTGTTAGCTGAGCCTGTTTTTCAGTTATTTCCTTCCTCCCTCATCCAGGGATCAGTGGTGATTCAGGGTCTCGAGGAGATTGTCGTCCATAACAAGAGTGAGGTGTATGCCATCCTAGAGAAGGGTGCTGCCAAGAGGCAAACTGCCGCAACCCTCATGAATGCTCACTCCAGGTAAGTGGACCTATTACATGAACTATTGAATCCTCTGACCCATTCATCAGTACATGTAACATACTCCATGAGCAACACTTGCTACGGTCTTCTCATAGACCCATTTGTATGGACAATTCCATACATAAATATATTGTAGTTGCATTGCTTGCCAGTATACATGTGTTCAGTTTGTTGAAAGATTAGACCAATCACTCTTTTGTTACCAATCATTGTCGTCTTTGCTTTCCTGAATGCCTTTTATTCACAGTCGTTCACACTCTGTCTTCACTGTCACCATCCACATCAAGGAGAACTCAGTGGATGGTGAGGAACTCCTTAAAACGGGCAAGTTGAATCTAGTGGATCTGGCTGGCAGTGAGAATATTGGCCGTTCTGGTGCTGTCGACAAGAGGGCTAGAGAAGCAGGTAACAAATTTGTCTGTGAAAATTGTTTGTAATTGACCGACAATATTTTGGACAAGCCAAAGGCAATGACATGTAGATTGTGTTATTGACTTCATGCCAGCAATGCTTAACTCTGAGTTGAGAGCCAAGTGCTCTTACACTACTTCTGTTCAAATAGTTAACACAAAGCCTATGCCATTAACGGAATGCATTCCTCTGTCACTTATTATCAACAGGGAATATCAACCAGAGTTTGTTGACCCTTGGCCGAGTCATCACAGCTCTAGTGGAGCATGCACCCCATGTTCCCTACAGGTAAGATTGAGAATTATTTGACGATTATTATTGACAAATTATTTAGCATTGCATTGCTTTGTGATGATGCGGGAGAAAAACAATCACAAGCTTGCTTGATTGGAACTAGAATCCAATTTGCATAATTAGACACTTTTTCTCACAGGTTGTGACAGTGCATTGCAACAGGTGTCTTAACTTCTCCTTCCTGGATTTGAGTCTTCCATGGTTTTCTGTTTGAATCCTGCCAATTTTTATGCACAAGTACCATCTTGGGGGTTCAGTTTCCTATCCAAACCACACCCCTGCAGTAATCGGTAAAAATGTTTATTATTATTTCAGAGAGAGTAAGTTGACGCGTCTTCTCCAGGACTCACTAGGAGGTCGCACCAAGACTTCCATCATTGCTACCATCTCTCCCTCCATCTGCAATGTGGAGGAAACACTTAGTACCTTGGACTATGCTCACCGAGCCAAGAACATCACCAACAGACCTGAAATCAATCAGAAACTCACCAAGAGAGCTCTCATTAAGGTCAGATATTGAAATGAGTTGGTTATTATTCAAGCCAATTTTTATTCAAGCCAGGCACGAGTCTTCACCTTGTGACAAAAATAAAACGTGCATTGACACCAACAAAATGAGATACTGCCCTGCCAGCACTTTGAAGTTGGTGACCGAAACAGCTTGGTAACAATGTTTTTGTTTTCCATCCTTTTGTAGGAGTACACAGAAGAAATTGAACGTCTTCGTCGTGATCTGTTTGCCACCCGTGAGAAAAATGGGATATACCTGTCAGAAGAAAATTACAGGTTCGACAATTGTGATCTAAGAGAGTCCCTTTTGAATTGATTGATTTACATTCATTCTATTGTTGTACTTGAATTACTCGTCTGAAGGTTCACAATTTGAGATGTATCTATTGTATATGTCTATGTATTTCTTTTTGTCTCCTGACACAGATCAATGGAGCAATCCATCAGTAGCCAGGCTCTCAGCATCCAGGAAAAAGAAGAGAAAATTTCTGCTTTGCTGGATGAAATTGCGAAGGTAATGATCAAGCACCTGCAAACCTAAATGAAGTGTTGGTCAGATTCTGAATTGCTGCTTAACTGTCAATGGAATCTTGCCACTTGTTTAGACATTTAGGAACCATCAAGGAACTTGGTTTAATTTTGCTGATAGAATTCAAATCAGTAATCACTGTCTTGCAATCTTGCCCGTCCTTAGATCAATGATATTCTTAGTGACACCAAAGAGGAACTGGAAGAGACAAGCAGCCAGCTTCAGATGACAACAAAGACATTGGTAAAGACAACCCATACACTACAGAAGACTGAAACGGTGAGCCATTTATTCTGAGGATAGAGAGCTGAGATAACTAGGATTTACCCCATAACAGTGTCCTTAGCTTCATAAAATGTGTTTGCAGAAGAACTGAATTAAAAATAAATTTGAAGTGTATACATAAACAAAGCAGTGCATACGTGTTGCAGAGAATGACAAGCCCACTTAAAATTTCTAAAAACGTTCGTGCATTAATTAAAAAAACATTTGTATCAGTTTATGAATTGAATGGCATGTTTTCTTGGCCATTTTTCCAGCTGAATGCAATGTGAACAAGAATTTAACTTCACTTAATTCTACCTTTTTGGTTTTGATTTATTTTGTTTTTGGTGAATGTAGGACCTGCGAGTGACAACCACAGATCGTGACCAACAGAAGTTCCTGCTTGGAGAACACGTTAAGACAGAAGAGAAACTGTCTACGGAGGCCAAGAAGGTTAGTTGTTACTACACAAACTAAAGAGGCAAATTTACAACTGGGAGAGAATGACTCAAGGAAGTTCATCCACTGGTATTCCCTCGGTATCACCTGATAGCCAGTGATTGATTGCAGGTATGCACTCAAAATCAAATACCTATACCATTTACCGTTAGCCTGGCAGTCATTTTACCTCGGTGTCTTCTTCCCCAGCTTTTAACGGTAGCTGAGAGCAGCACGGCAGATCTGGAAGGTGTCCATGCCAAGTTGGATCGTAAGCGTGCTGTGGAATCCCACAATGCAACAGCACAGGAGGTGTTTGAGGCCAACTTGGCCGACAAACTCCAAGCTGTGCAGGACTCCATGGCTGAGTTTGGAGATGTCCAGCAACAGCGCTGCTCTATCCTACAAGACAACTTCAGTGGGTCTTACTCATTTAACTATTTGAATAGTCTTGAACGCAAACACCAATTTCCTTCCATCCAGGATTAAACAATGATGTTAATTTTAGTGTGTGTGTATCGTTCACTCTTGTAGAGAATTTGGCATCCGTTCGTTCAACGGAAGTTCAGAGTATGTGCAGTCAAGTTGCTGGAATGATTGATAGCCTGGAGAGCCAAGTGGTTGGCATGGAAACTGATAGTCAGCAAACATGTTGCAGCTGGCATGAGTGGGGTGAGCAGAGCAAAGACCAGATGACAACATTCAAGGTACTTTGTCAGTCAGCCACCAGATTTGTATTAGAAATGTTTGCCTTTAGCTTCTACATTTGTACTTGGATCTGGGAAAAATAGAGAAATGTATTGAAATGTTTGTTGTCAGTTTAATTCACTGATTGTTGCAGGTTCAAGCTTGATATAAACAACTTAACAAATTTGCATGGCTGGAATACTTTTTTATTCACCATCTTGTTTGTTGGGTACCTACCTTTCAAACTTTGTTTGGAAATTGATTCCAGACTTTCAAAAGTGTGTCTCTGCTCATCAATGTCAGTATTTCAGTGGTGTTAATTTATCTCCCTGTTTGTCTGTTTCTTGTTCTGCATGACAGAATGCACACAGCAGTCAAGTTGTACATTTCCTTGAGAAGACTCACCTACCCCTGCTCAGGAAACACCAAGATATGTTGAAGGAACACAATCAACGGTTGACAGAATGGAATGAGCAGGTGCAACAACAGGTAAGGAACAGCCAGACACAAATCAGTCATTGAGACAACAATCATACAAACGTCAGGTAGGAAATGGGCGTAGTGAGCAAATTGCTTTTCAATATGGTCAATTGTGGCAGCCCTAAGACACAGCTGTTTCATGAACCCAATCAACACCTGTCTGTTTTGTTTTTTTTTTTATTTTCCAGATTGAATCTCAAATGACAGCTGTAGAGACATTCCTACAGAGCTACTGTAGCCAGCTGGATTCGTTATCATCACTGATGGGTGACTACATCACTCAGCAAAGAAAGATCAACCAAGGTCACCAACAGAAAGCAGCAAACATGTTGGCTGCACAGAAGGAAGCAGGACAGGTGAGATAAACCACTACAGACGCCTGTCCTCTGTCTGGCTGTGGTGAAGCAGGTGTAACTAACCCCTACAGTTCTCATATGCTAGTGTTTATTGGAACACACAAGTAACATATTTGTCATATTTCTGATCCTTGTAGAAACTGAAGGCAGAGGCAATGGCCAAGATGTCTGAAATCCTTCAACATATGCTGGATCGGCAACATGAACAGAACTCAGCCAATGTAGATGAGGTAGGAATCCTTGATATATTCATTCAAATTTTGTCCTGCGCTCACAATCAGAGGTTGGTGTTGTGGTAGTTTTTTAATAAAGCATGGTCACATTTTTACAGGCCATCATTCATAATTTGATTATAAATTTTCTCTTCTCAGATGACGGAGAGCTACGGATGTCTTGTTGAGAATGCTGACACAGCTGAAAATAAACTCAAGGGGTAAGACTTTCAGACGGTCCTGCTTGTTATTATTTCTTCATTGTGATGTTTCAAAAATCTTTCAAAGTAAATTTTATCACTTTGCTTTACTGAAAACTTCTTTGAGAAGACACAAATGAAGAATTTGGAGTTCTGTTGTTGAATAGTCCAAAGGAGTGTGGAATGTGTAGGAAGTTCACTCATCTCAAACTACTCTGTACCAGGCATGATGGGATAGCTGAGCTCTTTTACCCTTTTTCATTTTTGAAAGTAATCATCACTTGATTCTGACATCCTTCCTACAACTTCCATTTTTTATTGTCATAGATGTTTGACAGACCTTCGTGAAACATCTGAAATGTTTGCAGCTCAGTATGTGCAAAGCTCTGAGTCCTTGGCGGCATCGACCAATGAACACGCCAAAAAGGTATAAGTCCTAGAAATCCTGTTTTTATTTATTACATCATTGTGTGTGGTGGTGGTGCTGGTTGTAGCAAAGCATACCTAATTTGTTGGTGTTTGTGGCTTTATGAACCGATGGTGTGGATTATTCTGTGTGTTGGGTTTGATTGATAGGGCCATGGATACATCAATGAAGCAGAAGAGAGCCGTAGCCAGATTGAATCCTCCATTAAGGATTACTTGATGGAAGATGTATCACAGCAAGCCACACATTCAGAGCACATGACTATGGCTGTCAGCTCACACATTCAGGGACTGGATGAACACATAGCAAGCTCCAAGCAGAAAACAACGGTATGTAAGATCTGGCCACGCACACAATTTTATGAATGAGGCATATACTAGTCTGCTTACATGCGTATGCTGGGCTCAGGCTGTGGGCATTTTCAAAGTGAGTGGATTCAGCTTTGACTTCAGTTTCATTGGTTCCAGCTTTTTTAAAGCAGCGTTCGAAACTACATACGTGTACAAGGTCTGACTGGATCCAGCGAAACTGACGCCTGAGCCGAGTCCACTTATTTCGAAAATGCCCTGTGTCAATAGGGTTCCATATGCGTAAGAGTACCCAGACTAGATTTACCTGGGTTATAGAGTTGAAAGTATAATATATGTACTGCTAATACTAAGCCGTTTCCATGACATGATGCATACTGGGAACAGACCTCTTTAGTAAGTTTGGATTTGAAACTGGTTTTGATTTTTATCAAAGATTAGCATCTGTTTTGAATTCTTGTGTAATAATTTTCATTTTATTGTTTTCTGTTTGATTTCAGGCGATAGTGTCAGCTATCAAACAAAGTTCTGACGAATACCAAGAGAACCTGACCAATCAACATAGGACGCTGAGCGACACCTTGGATCAGTGGGGACAGCAGACCATCATGCAGTCCACTGATGTCAATGACAGGATATGTGACCTCAGGATAAAGGTGACAGAGGTTGAGGGATTGACGATGACCTTTTTGAAAGAAGAGCTCAAACATGACATCCCGACGGGTAAGACCTAATCTTGGCCATTGTGCTATTTGCAAAAAATGTTCAAAAATTCATTAAATATGCCACCAGTAAGTTTTGTGTTGTGAACAGATGATGTTCTAAGAGATGCAGAATCTCGTAAAAATAATAAAATAGTTAAAAAGTTGGTAACTGTAAGTAAACCTGCGTGCATCAAATTTCTTTTGAATCAGGTGTTACTCCCAAAAATCGTCGCTTCAGTTACCCTCGTCAACTAACCCGTACTGACCCCCATCACCTCTTACTGAAGAGCTTTGGTCTGGATCAGACCATCATTGAAGCAAGTAATGTGCCTCTACCAGATACTTTCATTGAAGAGGTACGTACACACGTGTATATGTGATGTGTAGGCCTCAAGGAATGTCGTTGCTAGGCAACAAAAGCATCCGCAGAGCTCAGAGCACTGTCACAGTGCTGCTTAGCACACGATTTCATGCTAACGGGCTCCACACATTTCATGGAGACGGTAAGCAGTAAGCACAGTCAAAGGCGTGCTACCCTTGGAGGAAAAATTTGCTTAAACTTAGTGATGTAACACAAGAAATCTCTAAGCACATGTAACCGTTAGCACAACCACACCAAGCACCGCCGTGAAATAATGCTTAAGGTTTGCAATTTTTTTCTGCTAAAGTTAGCACATTTCTGCTTATTGTTAACAGCGCTGTGAAATTGGGCCCAGTCTGTATCCGTGAAAGACAAAGACTTATTTTTCTACTTATTGACAAGTTTGTGCTTGAATTTTGTTTTTGTTTTTATGTAGCCTGAAGTTGAGGACTCCAAGAGTGACACAGTGGAGACAATGTCAGTGAATGAGGATAACTCGTCTGATGCTGGCTCTGATGTGTCTATGGGATCACTCATTGTGAGTTTGCAATTCAGCTGACAATTCTTGTGATTCTTGACAGTAAACTTCACCGGCAACATCGTCTTAATAGATTGATTTGTGTCATCTTTGAAGCAAGGTCGAAACTACCAGTCATTCTTAATTATTCTCTTATAATCTTAAATATTTTGCGATGATTTTTGTATCTTCTTTTCACAGGAAGAAAGTAAAGAGAACTTCCAGAAACCATCCAAGAAGAGGGCACCAACCGGCAAGGTGGTGAAGAAGACACCTCGTGACAACAGTGCGCACCGTACACCGCAATCTCGCTTACCGCTCAGAGTCACCAACACGCCCAATAACTGACCTCATTACTGATGCAATCACAAGAACTGAATGTCAAGAACTGTTTGCAGCATGGCATGAGGTGATTGGATGTGTGATCAGGAACGATACGGTTCATTGCAAGTAATCAGACGAAATGTTGCATGAAACTGTATGACTTGGCAAATTGTGAGCATTTTCCCTGAAAAAGGCAGATGGATAACAATCTTAGATGATTTTTGTACTTTTCAAAAGTTGACGGGATCTATCTGATAGAATGTATTATACAACTGTAAAGTAATAACTTGATTCGTTGGATTTAACTTGTAGGTTTATTTGTAGTTCACCTTTAATATTTACTCCGTGGGAAAAGCCTAGTACTTGATACGCCATAAGTAAGGTCTTTGGGAAATTGTTTGCCAGGAATATTTTTTATTTTCATTTCTATGAAAAGATAATGATATTGATTCTGTCTCCGCACCAATTGCAATTTCATTCACAATGAAATTTGATATTAGCAAGTGCTTGAGTAATGCTTTTTCTTAATCTTTATCATGTCTCTAGTTGCCAGTGTCTTTACAGAGCTCATTTTGAACTAATTGTTGCAGGTGGATTGAAACTGAGTACAATGTACTTTTGTTAAAAACATCTTGAACTAGAAGCTCCCTTTCAGTAGACCAACTCTTTACTTGCATTGTAATTCAACTGTTTAAAACATCAGTTCTACCGAGTGTATAAAATTATAACCAACATCTTCAAAATTGTTTGTAACCACTGTATACATGTATAATTAGACTTCTCCTCCAACCAGCTGATTCTCACAGCCACTTCTTACGCATGCTACTGGAAATTGAAAGATCTTGTGCAAAATTTGGTGTAGCTTTAAGTTTCCTGAATTCTAACATACATTGTCATGTTAACACTGAATTCTGTGTACACGGCATAAGCACCCAAGGTAATGTACATTTGTTGTGTTCATTTCACCCATTTCTTAAACAATGTACATTTATAGATTGTGAGCTAGCTAATATGCTTTATAAACCAGGACACGTCTTACTTTCCATATCCTTTGTCCCCGACGCCATTTCTTGATTTGAGGTACCGGTCACTTTAAGTAAATAATCAGGTGAGAACACAACATTAAAGATCAAACAAAAGAGACAGTTATCCCCTGTCATCAACTTTTATTTCCCCAACTTTTCGCTGTACATTTGCCAGAAAAATGAACTGCAGTAATGCTTAGCCCTCAGCTCCAATTAAGTATTTTCCAATGTGAAATCAAAGGTGTCTATTGTACTAATGGAACATCTCCAAAATTAATTTAAAGTCCAAAAGTTTTGCTGTTTACCTATATATTTGACGTGCATAAGAAATGTTGCAAGTAGAACCCCCCATCAAGAGTTATTTAAGTAGACTTTTTAGACACTTCAAGATTTTTTCTAAAAGTAACAATACCTTTCCTTATGAATTATTTCCAATGATTTCAAGCTTGAAATAGCTAAACCCAAACCCCGAATCAATGACTGAAAAATCCAGAATAAGAAACTTCATAAAAGTACATTGCAATGGTGCCATACTTGAGGTTTTTGAACTCTGAAAGTGATTATGGAAAAATGTAACCTTATACTGGTGCCCACATTCCTGAACTCTATTTTTTTTATCAGTTCTCTTATGAAATGAGCATTCCTAAATGATTCAATTTAATTGCCATGATGCTCTGTATGAAATTTTGAAAATTGATCAGTTTTGAAATTGAAAGAATTATCAGTTCTCTTATGAAATGAACATTCCTAAATGATTCAATTTAATTGCCATGATGCTCTATATGAAATTTTGAAAATTGAACAGTTTTGAAATTGAAAGAATTATCAGTTCTCTTATGAAATGAACATTCCTAAATGATTCAATTTAATTGCCATGATGCCCTATATGAAATTTTGAAAATTGATAGAAATATTGAAGGATTTAAGAAAATTGATACAATTCAGATGGAAAATGATATTGCCAAGTATGTAATTCCAAAAGCTGAAGTGATGCTTGGAGTCGTTATTAATTTAAAAGTTGCCTCGATATTGTATCTCCATTTGGTAACCCCCAATACAATTCCAAGTAAGTATCTACCAAAGCTACAATGCTATTCTGATTTACAACTTGATGAAATCTCCCTCTTTTTAAAATAAATTTCAAGTTGAGAATTGAGAGTATGGTTGGATGATTAATATGTTTGAGGTAATTACAGTGTAATGATTCTCCTTCAAAAACAAATGTATTAATGGTAGTTGTAACGATGACAAGCTTTGGATGTTTAGATTTATGATAAATTAGAAAAATTACTCTGTGATGAAAATCCTAATAAAAGTGCATTTTGTACCTTTCCCTGCAGTAATTTTCTGTTAAACACTCAGAATAACGATGGTGAATGACCCCAACCTCTGCCTTTTTTTTAGCTGTAATTTTTGTTTTTTTTTTCATTTTTTAAATTTAGTTTAAACATGCTGTAAGTATAGGAACTTACATTATTACTACAAATCCTTCAGATTATCTTGTTGAATGCATGCCCAAAAACTAGGGATTTCCTGAAATATGATGGTTATGTTTCAAAGCCAGACTTGAATCACAGAGACTTTTCCTGAATGTTTTGCAAGTATTTGTGAGATTATGCATTCCTCAAATAATCTGATCATGATCTTCTAGATATGTGTAGTGAGCTTAGTGAATGACTGAATAAGGCTTTGGTTTAGCCTCGTTGTAGTTGTTGTACCACCTGACAAGTGTCATGATAGCAGCCTTGATTGTGTCCAAGATGACAGCCTGGATGACAATGGCAATGATGGAAGTTGTGACCCACGTCCAGAGAGTATTCCAGCAGAGACCATGGAAGGATAAGACGGACCACAGTAAGGCAAACACACAAGATGCTATGAGTAGGATGTGAAGGACAAGGAACATAACTGGCTGGGAGACATGGCAGCAGACTCCGGGTGGAGTTGGAGTACTGGCTGGCTCAACATTGTGCATGGTTTGATAGTAGTTGTAGCGATTCCAGCGAGGATTCTCCTCGTCATCAGCCATTGTGAATTCACTGCTGGCGGTGGTACTGTTGCTGCTGATGCTTGTTTTGCTGCAAGTGTTTCCATCACTGGCAAACTCTTTACTGCTAATGATGCTCTTGTGCCCGTAGGTTTCTTTACTGCTGGAAATATCTTTCTTGCCACGGGTGTCTTCAGTGGTGCTGGTATCTTGGCTGGTGCAGATTCTATTGCTGCTGCTGCTGATGCCCAGGCTGCTAGAGAACCCCTCACTGCTGGTTGACTTTGGAATGACTGAAGAGGAGCCAGATGATGTTTGGTTGCTCTCAAAGGACAGACACTCCTCAGAGGATGTACTTGGCGGCATGGTTGATGATGAAGGGTCCATGTTGATTACTGCAGTGTCAATGCTGTTGTTGTTCCTGTTGGTGGTGTCAGGAGTGGTGTTTACTTCCATGCAAGGTGCAAGGTGTTGGCCAGGAGCACTGTGTGATGTCATGCTGGTCCAGCTCACTGAGGATACAACACTGATGGCCTCAGGTTGATACTCAATCAAGTGGCTCGATGACTGAAAGATAGATCCTTTGAGATGGTCATTAGTCACCTCTTCGTTGATGCTTTCACCATTGAAGGTATTTGGCAAAGTCATGTTGGCATTTTCTGGAGAGAAGCTCTTCTGTTTGGTGTCACATTTGGTCTCTTCCTCAATTTGGATGATACTGCTTTCCCTGGTGATGTCATGACCATGATGCTGGTATTTGTTCTGAACTGAAGTCTTCATGGCAGCCTCATCCTCTGTCACTTCCAGCTTATAATTATCACCAACATCAGCCCTAGGGTTGGAGCGCAACCCTGCCAACCACTTTCTGAAGTTGAAGAACAAAGGCTTGCGGCTACTGCTGTTTTTTATGGTCACACTTGGCATTTCAAACTCCGTGGGCAGGCTGATGATGTAGTCAGAACCGGTTGTAATTGGACTGTGTGGTGTTTTTATGATTGCACCCATCTTAGGTTGTGATTTTGACTCGTCGATCGACAGGTTTGGCTTGTCTTCAGTTAGTTGATGAGCTGCAAACTTGACTTTCAGCAGGAGTTCATCCCAGGTCTTAGTCTCACGATGCGGCAAGATGACTACTCTGCCTTTGCCCATATCACTGAACCTGTTGATGTAGTTCTTGGTACGAAGCACTTGGGCTAATTTGATTTCTGGGTCAAGAAGGGCATCGGTGTACTTTATGAATTTCTCTTGAGCACTGATGTCTTCTTGCGTTATCTTATCCTCAAGATGTTTGCTGTCTTCACACCGATCACCTGCGTCCTGTTTGCAAGTTGCCTTGTGTTTTTTCTCAAGACGTTCAAAGTCAGATGTAGCTCTTGAGATGGAGCCAGGTAGGTGTGAAGGCTCCTTGGAGGAAGGTGCTGATGGTGCAGTAAGGTCCACATTGTCAAGATTGTCATTGTCAGATGCTTTATGTTTGATTGCTCCATTGGAGTGGTAAGGAGATGACTCATCCTGTAGTTGGTTGGAGATAATGGATGATGACTCTGTGATGACTGATGAATCGCTGATGGATGCAGATTCACTGGAATCACTGGATGAAGATATGGAGAGATCTGCCAAGGTTGGGTTGCTGCTCAGAGAACTTCTAGAACTACCTGCTGAATCAAGGCTAGAGCTGGAATAGGCATACCCTGGACGAATGAAGCTTCCATGCTTATAGAACTTGTAACCAGCTGATGTGTTTTCTCCTGAACAGCCAGCTTCTGGGTCATAATATCTGCTCCCGGTGGTCCGATGGCATACAGGACACTTGTGGCAAGTCAACTTGTGATGGCATTCTAGCTGGTCAGCAGGACAGATGGACTGGTTGTCTCCATAAATGTCATCAGAAATGGTGTTTGCTACATGACAGCTGGAGGTGGAAACTGCCTTGGTGCTAATATTTCCATTCAAACTTCCACTTACAGAGTGCCTTGCTGGAATGCCGTTGTTGACAGAACTGTAATCAATGGTGTTGAAATTGGGTTTGGTACACGTCTTGATCGGTGACATATTCTCAATCTTTTGCTTGTAGATGCCGTGGCCATTGATCACAGTCCACTGAGAATACGTAATAAAAGCTGCATGACATGCATTATTCTTGTCATACTTGATGTTGTCAGCTACATTCATCATTTTGTAGGCTTCACTGGGAGTGGAACATTGCCTGCTGATCTTATTGAAGCATGATGAAGTAGTAGTCTTGTTTTGTTGGTCGGTATTTCCTCTTGGCCTGCTTCCCTGCTGCAGCAGCTCTGGAGCACTGATGGAGAGACGAGGTAAGCCTTCCTCCACACTCTTAAGACTACCCCCGAAGAAGTCTCCAGCTGCGGACTGAACATGAGCAGGTTGCATACCATCCATAAGTCGGTTTCCGTTCCGGAGTCTGGGAGATATACAAGGCAGATGCAATGACCAGATGGTAGGTGCGCCTCTGAAGATTATCTCCACAATTCCAAGCAATGAGAAAACCACCACGCCAGCCACAATGGCTCTAATCAATATGGCCGCATTGATGGTGAAATCTGCTAAGCTCATCAAGATGGAATCCTCAATGGACTGATCCAAGGACAACCTTGACACAACCTGTGCTGCAATCATGGTGTAACTAATGCAGACAAACAAGCAGGTGATGTGACGTGATCTGGTGAAGTTGCCCCGGTGCCAAGGTGTTAAGGCTGAGGTCCACAGAGAGCCATTCTTGAAGTAGTAAGCGATGTAGTTGACCCTGGATGCCGGCTGAGTGGTAGAGAGTAGCAGTGGAAAGATGGTAGTAATTCCTTGGTCTGATGATGATATACCACCACTACCTGCTCCACAGCCAGAGGTGTAACGATCCTGGGTCTTAGTATCCATGGCATGGATTTTCTTGATCTCACTGAAAAATATGCCAGTGAAAAGAAGAAATGATCAAAGTTTGAATACATCACTTTCCTGAGCACTTTGTCTTTCAAAAGCCAAATTTTCAAAAGATGCCACCTTTTTCAAACAGCAAATTTACACAAAAGATTAAATTCTCAGATAAAAGACTTGCAAAAATCTTTTCCTTGGACAAGTAAATTTTAATCAAACTTGGTATTGTTGCCACTTTACCTAGACACTGTAATAATTGATTCCTAACACTACAGGTGTTTTATGGGTAAACTTGAAGTATGATATTATCATTTCATATAATTTTTTAGGATTACAATCAATCTCACCAATGCATAATCTGAAGGATGAGGAACATAACTGTAACAAAGCAAAATGAAAACTTACATATCACATGCCCTGTTGATGATTCCTCGCAGGCAAGCTCCAATGTTGGAAGATGGAAGCAGCCTGGATTTGAATCCATCGCTCGCTGATGGGTACTTCGTCTCCACGGCTACGAGCTTACCGATGGAGCGAGGGGTTGCCAAAGTCTTCTGCTCTGAAGTTTTTCCAAGAACCAGATCAAAAGATAGCCTGTGGAAAAAGTTTAACACAAAAATGAGAATCAAAGTAAATTGCTTTTAACATGGCAACATTCAAAATGTGCTTGAATGATGATTTTTAATTGTAACTCACCAGTTGCTGAAGCCAGTTGTTCCTTGGAGTCTCATAAGACGCGGGTTTTTCTTTGCACCTGATGATTTGTGCAGTGCACACCAACGTAGGAATGAACCCCAATATGAACGGCCAGCATAGTTTACATCGATGATGTAGGTACGCTCCTTTCTGGCCCTGTTTCCCCGGATGTTGCAAGGAGATGGTGGACAGGAGCATTTGCTCTGTAACAAAGAAAGAGACAAACATTTGATAAAAGCAATCGTGAGTCATGGAAGTAGTGTGCAAAGAGGGAAAAGAAAAGTAAAGAAAATATAGGTTTCATTTTTTCAGTTTGTACCTTGTTTGCCTGTCTGAGATCTTGCAGAAAGGCCAAGAGCAGGAGCAGTCCGAAGCCAATGGCTATTGGGACTGCAGAGATGAAGACGATGTCAGACACGTCAACAGTTGACGGACAGTCTTCAGGCAGGGTAGAGATGGGGAGACTACCCTGGGATTGACCCGAGATGGTACTAAAGGTCTGGGAGCTGCGGGAGAAAGTAATGAAAACTCCTAAATTAAAGCAGAGCCTGAGCCCAAGCCTACTTTTGTTGAATTCTATGCATCCCTTTAATTTCTAATTGCCTCCTAAAACTGACACATGCCCTAGTTAAACTTGATATATTATGGCACTCAAAAATTGCGATGGCTCCGTACAGAATTTTTCCCACACTCTTATTCTGATCTGAAAGACATACAATAGCCTACATGCACTTTTATAATATGGCAAATAGCCTCAGTGAAGTTGTTCTGAAACATTTCTTTTATTTAAAGCATACACTTTCAAAGTGAAAATACAATTGTCTTGATATGAAGTGAAGCCTAACGTTAGCCCAAAGTTAGTGAAAGCATGGAAAACGTATGGTAGACATTCATTGGCAGGGTTCAGCTCAATTTGGACTTCATTGTAAATCAAGTTATCAGTGATCAAAAAGGCTCCAGGTAAATATGGAGGGTGATTCTCAGCAAAAGATTCCGAATCATAATACATCCAACATAGCTGCATGATATTCAAAAAGTCTACACTAAACATGCTTGTCTCCACGTAGCCTATCAAACATACATCCATTTCAACCTTTCATTATTTTGTGGGCAGCATTTTTGTGTAAATCCTGGGATGGGTTTGTTAGTTCTCTTACCTCACAGTCTTGAAGGCTGGAGCCCAAAGAAGTACGGCAATAATCAGGCAAAATCGCATTCGTAATTCTCACAAACAAGAAAGGCGTCCACACTGAAAGCACAGCATAAACACAACTGACGTTTGGTTTCTACGGCCTGCGCTCCCGTACGCACCGAAGGAGAAGCATAGCAACTAATGGTGACGCAACAATGGTTTTCTTTAGTGCTAGTAGTCTCTTTCATTGCTAGAGGGATCATTTTCTATTAAGTACTGATTTGTGGCCGAGATTTGTATATATTGATAGCAGCAAATATCGTTTTCTAGTTTGAACTTTTCTGGTTCCATAGACCTAAACATTTTGTCCTACATTCAGACTCTCTGCAAGTATTGAGGAAAGTAAACTTTTGGCGAGGAATTGTGGGAAGGGAGCTGGAGGTTGTAACCGACCGATAGAGGGCGCTATTAGAGTCCACCCATGAGCCGAGTTCGGGCAGCTTGTTCCCGTATGCTCACGAATAGCTCGATTTGTTGTTCGTGGGTCGGCCGGTCGAACGCCGGGAACAAACCGGCTATCGCTGGTAGTTATAGTGACAAGCAACATGCAACATGGTGGCGTCCATGTAGGCTACGTTATTTGAGAGTTAATGTTTGGATGGGCTGAATTCTTTTTTACATAAACAGGAATATTCATTTCTGTGTTGCGGAAAATAATGTACATGTATAAGTGCAAACTTCCCTTTGTCTATGTGTCTTTGGAAGCCATCTCTCTGTAGCTACTTTTTGCAGATGTTCAAAAATCAAAATCTCACGAGTTTTTCCGTGTGTTCCTGTAAAACCCTGACGAGGAGGTGGTGTGTGATCCTGTTTCGAGAACAGTGTTCTTAAGTCGTGTTCCCCCTGTTCGAGCGCGAAAACAAGAAACCCGTGTCAACAGGCCGCCCGAACACGGCCAAATTGACTAAACCCATTGATCTCCATTATATAATGGAGATTACTGATTAAACCACTGTAATCGAAAAAATAAAAGAATTTTCGAGATTTCAGAGGAACTACCAGCTTTGCTTTTTATCAGGGAAACGCCTTCTATGGTAAAACTCTGGTCATTTCAGCCTATTCGGCATTTCAACTAAAAAAAAAACCCATTAATTTCATCAATACTTTCCAGATGAAAAACTGAATGTAAAGTTTTGTGGAGTTTTAAACCTTTTTATCGCTATTTTTGTCTGGAGTTTGATATTTCTTGTAGGCCTCACCAATATTGTTAACAATACAATTAGTTCAGTGTTATTGAATACCTTTTTTGACAATAATCAGATTATCAATAGTTTCCAAGATCACTCATGTTTAAACATTCTTATATCGCTGTTGCACATTCAACAATTTATTTTATTTGCCTACTGTGCGTAATAAGACTACATTCTATCCGTAGGAGCGGGGCCAAACCCAGATGTGTAAACCTGTCAATCAATATTGATCACGAAAACCGGTGGGAACCGGTTGACGGAACTAGATGGGCGTGCTTTCTGCTACTCAGTTTTGATCCAATCAAATTGCCAAGTGAACAAGGCTGGCGGGGATTTTTTTATTTGACCAATCCCAATTGGCGATTGATCACTCATCACGACACCTTTTTCGTGCTGTTGCTCAAATAAAGTAGGCCCCGTCATTCTTAAAATGATATAATTTCCAGGCAATCAAGAATTTAACCATTAGTTTTTTCTTTAAAATAATATTTTTGTGAACAAGACCAAGATATTGTCTTTAAGAACGCAAAACTTAAAAAGAAAACAGCGGTCATATCTTGTGCGGAGAAATACTTTGTACAAAGGGGCCCTCATTGCATCAACCGCACGCGTCGTGCCGCCGAGGCATTAAAGTTTAGCACATTTCGCACGTGTCTCATTGCGCCTTTTGAAGTTGGAGGCGAGTAGGTCGCGTGTGCACACTGGCAGCAAACATTCTGCTCACCCACAAACAATTTGCGATTTTCGGTTCGACAGGATAGTCCAACGGCATTCGTCGAACGCGTCCCTCAAATTGCTGGTGCCTTGGAAGCTTGAAGGAATGGACAAAAGTTTTACTTGAGCCTATCCTGGTGGTGCACCTGGGTCCTTGGTCATGTTGGTCTCCAACTCCGTCTCCTTACAACTTCTATTCGGCCTCGTTCGCAGCCACATGTACCGCTCTCCACTCTTGTATGATCCTCAGAGCCAGTTCCGTCGGATTCTTCAGATTTCGAGAGCAAATAAGTAGAATGCCATGGACCTGCAAACTACCATGTTTGCCTCATGGACGTCGTCAAACTTTTGTTGGAACACATGGCCTACATGGCAAGTTTAAATTTTTGAATTTTGTGTGAACATGGTAACTGGTCGCTTTTGTGAAATTCGCTTTAGAACTGAACTAGGCCCAACATGCAAGTGTGTGTCCCACTGAACATTTTGTGAATTTGTTGTCGAATGATCTGATTGACGTTTTTGGAATGTGCTTTGCAAAGCTGCAAGCTTCAAGAAGGTACCAGAAAAGTCTTCCTGGGTAAGTCTGTACAAAAAGACCAAGACTTCCCGAGGTGAGTGACAAATTTAATCTTTTCCCCGACCCCGTCAAGTCTTTCAACATGAACATAAATATGAACATGAGTAATTGAAGTAGGCCTCGTCCATTTAGTTGGCCTTATTTTGCCATAATTATGCCCGCATTTCTCTTACTAACGTCCACAAAACCAGAGTTTGGAATACTACTGTGTATGTAGTTTGGAGTTTTTTGGCACTATTCATGGTTTTCTAGGCTGTTACTTGAAAAGGTCAGTGTCTTTGTGTCGCCAACAACTGCAACTTTAAAATCTCATTCAAGCCATCCTAGTTGGATTCAGAATTTGCATTTGAATGTGATTCCACTTCTTGACCACTGCAGTTTCGTTTGCCGCCTTTTAACCTTAAGAATGTCGTCTGCTGCCTAGCTTGATATGTACACGTGCAGTATAATAGTCCATGATAACTGCAAACGTTCCCCCTCATGTTATATGCCCGGCAAGGGCCAATGAAATTCACTACTTGGAAGCCTATTTTGCATAGTCAGAATAGAAATGTCACGCGCACAGGTGTTGTGGGCGTGATTAAAATTTCCGTTAATACTATTGGTTGAAAGTATGAAAGGACCGCGCGAAGCGGCCAGGTGCAACATACCGTGAGGTTTTACTTCTGACATTACATGTATTCATTGTCACTTTACTGCGCACGGTGACTCCACGTGCCATGGAATTGTAAACGGTTGTGTGACTGTATTTGTCGGCAAAGACTTGTTTGATTTGTCTCCCAATGAGCCAAGGAAACTACCATGTACACGTATTTGTAATTAAACGTGAATCCCTAAACAGTATCTCTCTATAAAGAATTTTACCACACTTCTCAATTCTTCAAGTGTTAAAAGTTCTCTTGAAAATCAAGAGAAGTAATGCGTGGGCAGTCACTTCCCAAAGTGTTGTAAAAGCTCTGGTTTGTAATCCAAAAATAATATAGACATCTAAGTATCGTGCATTGTGTTTCTGCAGACCGATGTGCATTGTGCAACATATAACATTAAAGCTCGGAAATACATGTACACAGGGCCCTATTTACAAGCTGTTGTTTCTTCAGTGTCGGCAGGGATATACATGTATTTGAAATTATGTCATTTTTTTACAGAGAGCATAACATCTTGCATTTTTTTCAGATCAAAATCGAAGAAAATCTTTTGGCCAACTATTACAAAATGTCACTAGATTAACTAGCTGGAGATGGTAGGGAAAGGAAAAACACCCCAATTAACAAATCACATGTGTAAAAGCCTAGGGTCATGTGTGTAAGCAGTCTTAGGGCAATGTATATTAAAAAATCTCAAGGCCATGATTTATATAACTTTACTAAAATATGACTGAAATTGGATAAAGGCTCACTCCTGTTCACCAATTTACAAACGATTTGTGCTTGGACTTCACATGCAGGACCAGCTGTCATTTCTCGTTCACTTGTACAAAACTTTCCGACTTGTTTCCATGTCCAGATATGCACCATGATGTATCATCAGACAGAACATTTCTTTTCAAACATCTTTGTATCAAAGGCTGATGATTCTCTAGGGCCATGCACAAATTTGATTTTCCTCTCATTCACTATGTCTTGTCATATTTCAGCTTCCATTCTAGAGAGGCTGTTGCATAAAGGATAACTTGTTTCTTTCTGTTTCATCACCACCACTGATCATCATCATGTGAAGCTTTTCTAAAATTAATTTTTAGGGCCATAGTTGCAGATATGTATCCCAACACCTAGAACTTCACCGGCTGACATACTACCACATTTCTTTTGTAAATAAATAACTTGTAAATAAAATAAATAAATGTAAAAATATCTTGGGAGCCAAGTGTGCATGACATCACATCTCCAAATTCCAACTTTCATTTGAATACAACTTGCAGATTCAAAAGATATTTGCAGTTTAAAAATAATAAACTGACAGACGTGTTACTTGTACAAAATAATTTTTCAAAAAATTCAACTACATGTCACGTATGTGAAGTGTTCCACGGCATGCTGTCTCTCGACTCTTAAGGACATGTGTAAAACGTGTTGAAATTCAAATCGGTGTCACTCCACCTGTGACAGAATTAAATACTGCCTTGTATCTGCCTGTGTCAATATGTCTGGTAATTATCACATTTATCATTCAACCTTATTTTCATTAAAACTAACAGTCCTCCGTTTTCCGATATTTAATGAGGCTTAGTGTATCACTCCGGTGAATTAAGTGTAACCACATAGCTTTGTAGACTTATGTCTAATTCTGTATGTGTTGTGTAGGTACGTCCTGGTGTGAAGTTTTTATAGGCTTAACCCTACCAGTTCTCAATCCTCCAACTTGGATATGATTTTACATACTCCCTAGGGGGTTAGGCTTATTTGTGTACGTATTCAGTAAGGTCTGTTAAACATGACAATGTCTATAATCATGGAGGTAGGCCTATTGTATTGTACAGGTGTAGGCCTAGGGGCACAGGCCTATAATGTGTTATACATGTAGTCCTCGGGGCATACAGGATGAATGTAACCAAACGAGCAGGTAGGCATAAAAACATAGGCCCGTTGTGTTTCACAGCTGGCCTGGAGATTCACATGCAGGCCTGATGCAACTTTTTGCAGGTTGACCCAGAGTCGTATATAGGTCCAGTGTAATGAAAAGTTGGGCCTAGATGCATAGGCCTGAAATATATTGCGCAGGTAGGTCTAAAGAAATTACGTATTGTGTGGGTACTGGGTAGGCCTATATGAGCTTGATATATGCTGTTAGGCCTAGAGACATAGGTCTTATATGTATTGTGTGGGTA